CCATGCTAAGTTAAGTAACCTGGAAAGCAGCTCAGCCATTACATTGCACTGCATTCACTTGCATGTATTCACACAGCGATAGTTTGATGTTGTAGAACCAGATGGACGCGGTTGGAGGAAATGAAAGACTATCAGTTCAAAACTATACGAACAACTGCGTCCATCTGGTTCCATAACGCCTCGCATCTACGGCTTAACTAAACTGCACAAACAAGACGTCCTACTCCACCCAATACTAGATATGATAGATTCCCCATGTCACACAATCGCGAAATGGCCGCTGGAGATTCTCGGGCCGCTGAAAGAGAAGCTGTCAAGACACAACCTCCGTGACACATTCGACTTTGTCGATTCAACGTAGCAGAAAAGAAAATGGTCTCCTTGGATGTCGTCTCTCTCTTCACCAACGTCCCATTGACAGAAACCATATGTTTCCTTTGTGACTACATTCAATCCAATAGCATCGATGTCGCTATACCAATCCATTACCTGAAAGAACTGTTACTACGATGCACATCCAACCTATACTTTAGTTTCAACAACGAAATATACAGGCAAGTAGATGGAGTAGCAATGGGTTCTCCCCTAGGACCCCTCCTGGCCGACTGCTTTATGACTAGCCTAGAAAACAACCCCTAATCATCAACTATCAATGACCTCCATCTCTACAAGAGATACATCGATGATACTTTCATTATTTGTGATCTAAAAAACCTACTTCAAATCTTCAATGACGCCCACCTAAACATCGACTTTACACTTGAGGCTGAATCCGATGGAATGTTCCACTTCCTCGACGTCCATCTGACAAGAAACGTCAACAACTCTCCGAAAAGGTCCATATACAAAAAGCCTACATGGAATGGACAATTTATCAACTTTCAAAGCTTCGTGTCCCTAAGTAGAAAGAGGAACCTTATATACGCTCTTTCCTAGAGGATTCGGAAGATATGCAGCGAGGAAGTGATTGACGAAGAACTGCGTAATCTCCGAAGATGTTGTACAGTGTTTAATAATATAATAATAATTCACTTTATTCCAAAACAATAACAATTTACAGCATGGAATTTTCAGCCTTTCTTTTACATATTGCAGTGGTTTAGCTCTGTTTATATTTATATAAATGTATAAAATGTTAAAATATTGATAGTTAATAGGAAAAATAAAAACCCCAACAAAATCACACCATTGCTAGGTCATAGTGAATAATAAATAAATAATATAAGAAATAACACATGCCTTAATATGCATCATTACATTTCATAGTTTAGTTAATGATTTAAAAGTTGTAAAAGTTCTTTTCTGATATTTGTCTCTTCACACAATACTCGTGCCAAATATGGTACGGTCGAATTTTTATATTTTGTAGTACGAGCATAAATGTTTATGAAATTTATTCTGGTCTTTACCCGAAGAGATACAAGGAAGCAATTGTGAATAAAGAGGATGTTCACTATCAGACAAGATAACTTTAGCTAAGTGTTTACAAGAATTCATATGCCTGTTGACAACAGTGTCAGTTAGTTGAGTCAAAGGCATAACACTGACCCTACTTACAGCCCTCAATGTTCTTCGTAGTATTATATGGTCTTTCTTGAGCAGCCCAGGGAAGAATAATGGAGAAAAATAAAGAATGATGGGCAAAACACATGAATTAATAAATTGTATGAGAAGAGATTGGGTTATACCTGAGTGCCTCAACTTCTTTATGTAATAAGTCAGACGGAAAACTTTCTTAGAAAATATAAGAATATGAGACGAACAGCAAAGGTTTGAAGAGAAACTAATGCCAAGATAAGAAACACTTGACTTACTCTCTATCATGGTACCATCAATATTACAACAATCATGAGATTGGATCAACCCATGCATGTCTTTTTCACTTCTCAAGCTGAAATCAACTGTATTACATTTAGTTGGATTTAGTTTAAGACCATTTGAGCCAGACCAATCCTTAACTTCAGCTAAGAAGCCATTCATATGGGAGCAATCCGATGTGGAAACTACAGGGACTGAAACGGTCAGATCATCAGCATACTTAATGAAGTTAACTTTTGGTGAGTTCGGAAGGTCATGCAAAAAAAAAAAGAAAAGAAATGGAGAAAGTACTGCACCTTGAGGCACACCACTTTCAGTTAGCTGAGAAGTGGAGCGCTTTCCAGCCAAAACAGTATGCTGTTTCCTATCCTTAAAATAAGAAGACAGCCAACTAGTTGCCCAGGTCTCTGTCTGTGCTGAAATCATCTTTCCTAAAAAAAAGTGTCCTAGGAACAGAGTCGAAAGCTGCAGTAAAGTCTAAAAAAGCTGTTCGAACGAACTTAGCACCCTTATCAAGGCAGGAAACAATATTGTGGTGTAGTACAATGGCTGCATCTAATGTACTTCTTCCACACTTATAAGCAAACTGCTTAGGATCACTAAAAGCTTTTAAAGAAGGTTTAAGAATATTCAAAAGAAGTTTCTCCATAGTTTTCAAAAAAGGAGATGTTATAGCGACCGATCTAAACTTTATACCTGCTCCAGAAGATGATTTCTGTACAGGTACAACCTTGATTTCTTTCCAGTCAGCAGGTACCGTTTCCTTGTTGAATGATGTATTAAAGATTTGAGTAAGAGGATGACACAAGATGTCTGTACACTTTTGAAGAAGAATGCTCTGTACACCATCTGGACCAAGGCTGTGTGTTGGATTCAAAGATTTCAAACATAACAGTCCATCCTTTTCTTTAAAACCCGGAAAATGACCATTATCTTGACTAGGTACATCAGGTACAACCATATTAATTTGTTTCATGACAAATGATTTGTTTAAAGCATTAACATCAGAATAAGCATCAGCAGACATTTGTTTTTTACTTGTAAGTTTATTGAAAAGTTTCCAAATGTTTGAAGGATTTTTACATGATAAAAATTTTTCATTATATAGTCTGTTCAACCTTTCTATTTCAATTTTTATAAGGGTGTTTATTTCACGGATACCAGTATTATCACAATTCTTATACAACTTCTCTTTTTGCCTTCTAAGTTTTTTCAGCTGCAAAGAAGAGATTCTGTCAAATCTCGAAAACAGTGTTTCATATGGACAGCAAATTTCCAAACAAAACTTCAGATAATCGGTTATATTAGAGACAGTAGCATCCAACTTATCGTCAGTAAATAGTTCCCAGTTGGTATCATACAACATGCTTCTTAGTGCTAGAATGTTGTCATGGGAATATGAACGTTCATGTATCTTCTTTGTTAAATGACTAAACAATTTTTGTTGTAACTTGCCGTACACTTTCGGTAAAATACGAATAATGCAGTGGTCAGAGTTTAGCAAAGGAGCTCTCCTTCGGGTTTCATAAACATCACGGTCGTTTATGAAAACCAGGTCTAGTGATTTGTCCAGACGTGTATTAAACTTGACTAGATTCTCATGACCAAGTGAAGTAAGAAAGCTGTGATCACATGAATTAAAATTACCACAGACTATAGACAATGAGTTTCCGAATGCAGGAGCAGCGAATTCAGTAAATTCATCTGCAAACATAACTATATTAGAAAGGCTACAATTGGGTGTTATGTAAGTATTTGTTATGTATATATAAGAATATTTACTTAAGTGTTTTGGGCGACACCTGACGGTTATGCAGTCTATATTGTCATTAGAATAATTGAAGCAAACGTGATTTGACGTAGACCACCTTGTGTTTATAAAAGTGGCTACCCCTCCTCCATATTTTTCCTTAGAACCATTTCTATCTTGGCGAAAAACTTTATATCCATTCATTGAAACTAGATTATCATCATAATGTTGGTGCAACCAAATCTCTTGTATTGCTAAAACGCCAGCATTTCGATAAACATTAGAATACATTAGGGATTGAAGATAATCCATTTTGTTGGACAGGGATCTACAATTAGTGCTAACGAGTTCAGGAACAGTCGTTTGATTAATTTGTGTACGTTTCAGTGCACGCTGCCATCCACAGTGATGCTTTTTTCTCAATTTTTGTGGATGACACAATGCAGTAGGTTGTAATGATTTTAAAATATAATACGATTAGGACATATTATTGATAAATTAAAACAAAATTAAAAGAGCAAACCAAAGCAATTTTGCAAAATGTTGTAAGCTGGAATTTTTGGTAGCCCTATGTTCAAGCAGGCCGCAATAATTTATGCTCGAAACGTCATCCAGTTGTATGTACTGCATCATCGCTGTGATATCTAATATGAGTTACATTTTACCACAGTGCACAAGTTCTACAGTAACATTAGTAAGGTATTAAACCCCACATGTATCACGTTCCCAAAACAGGGCAATATCAACTTATAGATTTTACATTTTATAGTTCTAGTTTGTGAATCATCGGCAGTACCAACCCACTGGAGTTCCAACAAAGAACCTACCAGTTACAAGGAAAGCTCGTATACCATTCAGTCATTGGGACCAGATTCAATGGCCACCGAGTGAATTCTAACTCCTACCAATTCGTGATTTAGCGCAACCACCAACCAATGTGATCGGCGGGAACTCCATTCTCACACTTGACTGGATGGACGTCACTAGTCACGACTTCTCACTAGCACTCTAGAAAACTCCATCCTGTAGCAAGTCACTAACGAGCATCAGAATTGGTAGAAGTTAGAATTCATGGGCCGGCCATCGAATCGGGTCCCAGTGGCTGAATGGTATACGAGTTTGCCTGGTAATCGGGAGGTCCTGGGTTCGAACCCTGTTGTTTGGTGCGTACTGCCGATGATTCCAAAACTAGTGGGATGAAAGAGCTGTCCAGTACTCCAATGCTGGTTTTCAATGGTTCTCTAACTGATATCGATCGGTGGTCAAACTCGTAAAAACAAATCTAATCCTCACAAATCAACTTTTGAAAACTTTATTATTCTCCATGTGAAAAGATCGTATTATCATCAAACAGACGAAATATCAAATTGATTCCGAAAATATATTATTATTAGAATTATACATAAACGATCAAAAATCATCAACCTTAGAAACCAAAATATATTATAGAATTTTACAAGTAACAACTGGCAAAGAAAGTTTAAACGAAAGAATAAATAACAAGAAATTGGAACAAAATAATCGAAATTACAAAAAAAAACAAGGAAAAGAAAACGGCCTTGAACAAGAGAAGTAGAGAGTTCAGACTAGTTCACGGAATGAAACTCTGGAATTATTGATTTTTCAATATCATTACACCTTTTATACAAGTATTATTTTTTATTTTTAACGAACAATAATTTATACAATTAAAAACAGCAAAAACCTTGCAATCAATCCCGCACTTCCCAGCCATAAGTTAATTACTGCGTTTTCTTAGCCTTAACAGGACTGGAGGCAGTAGAAGGACCATCTCCATCACCTGCTTGACCGAATTCATTTACACGTGATTTGTCTACAGGATATAACCTGGAAAAGCAAAAGGTAAACATAAAGCACAAGTATTAATCATTCGTTTTAACTGACTAACTGGCTGAGTTTCAGCGTAGAACTCAACAGAGAAGTGTGCAGTAGTTCAAGTTGCTATATTTAATGTAGCACAACAAAGGTAGAGAAAAGAACTATAATAGGCAGAAATATATTAGAAACATTTGTTTCCCGATACGAATTTAAAACAAGCAATAAAGGTTAATAAAGCAGGATTTAATGAATTCATCAAATTTCGGTAGAACTCGTCAGCTGAATACTCTACATACACGGATATATATACTTTTGAAATTACATTGGGAGATATAGGACTGATAAGTAAATAAACTACATTGAATTAGTCATGCAGAAAGACAGGTGCGAATGTTTTTCCAGGTCATGTTCAATTAGATAAGGGGAGAGAGAGTATGGGAGATCAAAATTAAGATAAATTGCATTACGCTTCAATTACATCACTTAGGTGAACAATTAGACATTAGAGAATTTAACAAGAATTGCAACCAGAGGGATGTCAATAGTAATAGTTATAATAACAATAATAATAATAATAGTGTTGAAGTGAGTTAAGATAATGCTACTGATAAAGGATAGTTTTAAATGAATCAAGAATAATAATAATGAGAATAATAATAGTAATATAAAAATAATAATAATAAGAGGTAGAATTATAAGTAAAACGTATTACCATGGTAGATTCAGAGTCACGACCATCTCCTTTTGTACACAGAGACCTGGTTTGTAAACTCGAATTGCACAAGCCTCTGCAATTGCAAGCATCTTCTTGTTTCTTTGTCTGCTGACAATGGTGAATGACTTGACCGCGTCGATATCATGCCCGTAATCCACAAGATGCTTTGTTATTGAGGATTTTGGCACTTTGAACTCAGCTGTTTTCAACCATTTTGGCAAATGCTCCATCATGCGAGTAGACAATCACCTTTCTGTATGACCTATGTATTTGCTTCCACAAACACACTCAAATTGATATACGCAGTTTGAAGTGTCGAGGATTGGCGACTGGTCTTTCTCAGATTGTTGAAGCACTCGCTTAGTGGTGTTAAGGAAAACAAGTTTTGCAGCATAATAAGTTCTCTTGATAGCTTTATCGAGTCTTCGTTTGACTACTTCCTGTACATCATCTCCTTTGAATGGCAAACTGATATAGACAGGTTTCTTCGGAACTGTTTGGATTGTTTTGCAGCGGGTGTTTTCTTTAGAGTATTTATTAATGAACTTCTCAGGATATCCATTCTTAGATAAGATATCCTTCAGGGATTTTATTTCATACTCAACAGTACTGTCAGAACAAATTTTTCGTGCTCTCTCTCTCCATATATATATATATATATACATATTAGAGCATGAATAGTAAACATGGAGAGAAACACGACCGTTTAATCGACAACGGGGAGATAATAAAAATTCAATGCGTCTGTTATTTTTAGCCATATTCATCAATGGTCTCCAGTCGATTGGTTCTGAGCATCCTGAGGAACTCAACCAAGCAGTCTATACCTTCATATGTATATATGGCTTAAATCAACTGGCAAAGACTTTTTGGATTGGTGTCATGTTTTGTTTTGAATACCCCTCTAACTCTTTTACAAACTAATCCTATGTCCGCTAACATTGCTAGTGAAGGAAGATAATGGCTTAGAATTTGCGGTAGGACAGGTATGGTGAGAGCTGGCTGCTAGCCAAAGTTGGTAGACAGTAATTCACGTCAGTGTTTATGTCCCCAATATTGGTGGTGAGAAAATGAGAACAAAGGCCTTGCGTAGGCGGATACAATTAGCATATGGATGATCTGACACAGTCACAAAGAGGTGCAAGGTTAACTTTCTGTTAGAAACAACCAATCAAAAGACTGTATTTTCTACTAACAATAATCTACAATAATGTACATTAGAATCTATAAATATGTGTTGATTTTCCTTAATAAACGATCTGTTGTCTGGCCCTTGTCTTCTGTTGTTACACAGCTAGGCTTCCCATTTCTACAACACTGAACGGCTACATCTCACAGACATAAAGGAGGACATAGAGAACTAGTGAGCAGTACACATATCCTTGAAGTGATAGCTGGATATTACGTCCACACTAGAGATGACTTAAGTTGGTAAATTGCCACACGAACCTTTTGTATCCGTGGTGAAATTTTGTCAACAATCGGCCAATTAGGGCCGATGCAACTTCCCAAATAAATGAGGTGGTCAACATGCCTTACCAATTCGCTAGGAGTCGGAGTAGTCCAGTGATGCACCATTATCTTACACTTAATAGGAGTGAAGCGTATGTCAAACATTGGAAGATTTTTGTCAGAGATGTTCAAAAGACTGAACTTTGTCAAATAAAGGAGTAAATAGAAAAGTTTATTTATTTTGTTAATAGCGATTGTAGTTTGTCTTAATAAGTATTACATCTGTCGTGAACACACTAAGTGAATCACTATGATAATATTATTCAGTTCATTCCAGTATTTAATTCCATATTAGTTTGGTTATTAGATATATCTCACAGTCACCGAGAGAGTATTATTTACTGGATGACAGAGTTTCAAACACAATTTATTACTGTTCATAATCATATCAATTGTAATCACACGATTTTGAAACTTGAGTTTTATAGTTTTCTTTGTTCTCTCCTATTCATCGTCGTAGGGGTAGTAGAATTTTCCAGATATCCGAGTGGACAGGTTTTGAATCGTTCCTATAACACGTGTTTGCAGTTGATTCGATAAACAAAGCTTCTGTTATCACTCTCTCCTTTCACCCTTCCACATTAGATTTTAAAACTTTCATCCTATCCCATCCTAATGTATGGTTGTGTGTGACTGCATGTAGTGCTATAGCTGAACTATTCTCTAGATTTCTTATCTTATTCGGGTCAACCAATCTAGATTTTGCTGCTAGGTTTTTATGCTCACCTAGTCTGACTACCCCTGTTCTACTAGTTTGACCTATGTATTTGACCTAACAATCATTACAGCAGCAGGGTATTAGATAAACTAAATTGCTTTGTTTTAAAGGCTCCACAGGATCCTTTAACCGACAAAGCTTGTTTCTAATGCCACTTTTATTCCTGCCTTGTTAAGAATTCTGCGTAAGGTTTCCTAGGTCCCTTCCTTGTATGGAATTACTACTGATGATTTAGATTCCTTATTGTTGGTGTCGTCAATAACATTATTGTTATTATTGTCGTTATCACTATCGCTACTATCATTATTTATTTTATTTTTACATTTCCTTACATATTTCCTGACTAATTTATCCGGGTAATTATTAAGTTTCGAGGCTTCTTTTATGTGTATCAGTTCCTGTTTTAGATTTTCCTTGGTACTACTTAGTTTTTGAGCTCGGTCACTTCAACATTTCACCAATCCTATTTTTCAAGTGTTGGTTTGTAGGGATTTGATTGGCTGGGTGCGTGCTGTTGAAGAGTCCCAAACTAGGACGAAACAGCTGTCCAGTACTCCCAGGTTTTCCAATGGTTCTCTAACTAATGTCAGCTCATGATGAAAATCCTGTAATCCTATTTTTATTGACATAGAATGAGATGATCAATCATCTCATTTACAAGTCATGTATTTAGAAAAAAATGTAGAAAGTATTGACTAAATTACTCTATATGAGAGTAAAGCAAGAGATGAACTTCTTTTTTATATCCGTAAACATACGACATGAAAAACAAACAAGCAGATGCATGTATCTCTCCGGTATATAAATGCACTTTACACACACACACACACGTACCATCGTTGATATAGGTAGATGAGAAATATCAAATCATCTCGTAAACAAGCGATCCGATGTGACGTCGGCATAACAATAATAAATGCGAAGAAGTCGTCAATAAATGTATTGAATGCCTATTAAACAAAACAAAAACAGAAAATAACAAAAGGGTACAAATTAGGTACACAAACACACACACAAGGTTATTTTTCTGATTCCTTTTTACGTTTCGAGTGGAGCACAGGGCTTCATTCAGACTTGTAACCTTGAAGTTTCAGTAGGTATAGTGTTATTTTTCACGGTGGGGTTTGCTAGACATCATGCCCAGTCTATCCCCCCTTTTTGGACTTATCGACTGGTAAACTGAGCGAGGCTTAAGGGTGCCTGTCTGTAGGGAATCGAACCCAGGATCACGTGTGTGGCTTGCTAGCAAGTAAGGTGAACAAACAAGGTAGGATAATACAAGTATATATATATATATATATATATATATATATATATATATGTTAGATAGTTGGAGGCAATCGGCAGGAAGCCTTGGACCTAGATTTCGTGCTAGTTGGCACTCGTCAAAATACCCACTACAGTCCTACAGGAGGGCAATCGCGAGCCCAAATAGCTCAGTGGTAACGTCTCTGACTGCAGCACTGACTGGGTGACGCGGGTTCGAATCTCAGAAGCAGGGACATGAGTTCCTTCGAGGTTGCAGATACGCCTTGCTGACTGGTGAGTGCCAACTAGCACAAAACCTAGGTTCGGCGGGGCTTCCTGTGGCCAACTGCCTCCAACTATCTAATATCATCAAATCAATGTGCACCGTGATGGCGAGCTACCTAGAATGGTGGCCACATTGCAAACCTGACTGATTGAGTTCACTCTGCATCAAAGAAAGAACTAGACACGTTACACTGGTTATTAGTATCCAATCAATATATATATGTATATCGATTATCAAAATGTGCACTAGTTATCGTTACATCGGTAAATTTTGTAAAGTTGTTTATGGAGTGATCGATATATCATCACATCAAAAGGAAGAGAGGCATTATACACATTAGCATGCGCTCATAAACTATGTCGAGGTGAAGACATCTTAACCGATAACAGCAACAACAACAACACAAACCTTCAATCAGCATCAACAGTAGAAATCTAAAGGAAGTTATCTCTCTCACTGTTCTAGTCAGCATTGTTTCAACCACAGGCGACAGCACGGAAGATGTTTTTGGGCAGTGATATGTAGTCACATGATGGCTGCCTTTGTTTTTGACAGTCTGTCTATTTTACTATGTGTATATTGATCGATATTCCATTATAACTTGGGGTCTGTCCATTAACTAGATATACGATGTATGACCTTTTGTCACATGACATTACAACCAATCAGAATCCAAGGATGCTAAGAAAAACTACTATCTGTCTTATTGGTTCATGTATGTTAGTCATTTTCATGTACACTCTTGTATTGTAAAGTTAATTCACACACCTTCAAACTTTTTCGTACTCTTAGTACCTTTCTACTCACACTCTTGTGTGACAGTTAATTTTCCCTTGTTGGAAAATACACGTATCCATTCGTGGACGTGGTGGTGGTCTTCTGATTTGCCTCTTCGCGTCAGGACAAATTAGCTACTACTCAGCAATACCAGTCTGTACGTTATCGTTCGTATATCTATCTCATTAGCGCATATTTATACTCGGTCACACCATAATATCGGCAACGACACCATATATAACATATTGGCGACGAGTACATAACAGGCAGTCAAGTTCGGAAAGCACGACAGACATTCATTAAATCTGGAATCAGTGTGGAAATCTACAGCAAGCAACAGTAAAAAGAACAAGATTCGGATTTTCAACACGAATGTCAAGTCAGGCAGTGCTTCTATGTGGTTCAGAGACCTGGTGAGCGCGTCACCATAAGCATTTCAAACAGGCTACCCCCCCCCTCAGGCGGCTTTTATCAACAGCTGACCACTTCGCTTCATACTAAAGATAAGATGATCACAAAAGACTAGCAACAGGGAATTCTGGTAGACAACGAACCGGACAAGAACCTACCGCAAAATAAATATGTAGAAGGAAATGGAGATGGATTGAACATAACGCTGAGGAGATCACTGTCTGTCTCTCTGTCTGTTTTCGACATAGAACTTTGCACCGATGTGCAGCAGTTCGAGTTGCCACATTCCATGTAGCACACAAAGCAAGAGAAGAAAGTAAAATCAAATGCATAATAGAGACAGTAAGTTGAGGTGTGAGACAAAGGAGTAGTAATAACGAAGAACAATATAGTTTCATTGGAAATTATAAGTCACAAGGAATGGATGCATCTGCGCCAGCCATTGAGAACCATTTTGAGCTACATCACCAATTGTCTCCAGTCATTGGCGTTTACCGTCCCGAGAACCCCCACCAGGAAGTCTACACCTTCCTACGTGGCTTAAACTAACTGTTGTGGATTTCATTGACTGATGCAGCCATGTTTTTGTTTGACCACCGCTATCTGTTTTCCAACCTGACCCTATATCAGCTAACATTGCATGTTGTCGAGGAAGGCGGTGACTAGGCATACGTAACACATGTCCTAACCATCTCAGTCGATGTAATTTCACAGTCTCGTCAACTGATTTCCCCTACTTACCTAGTACTCGACTCCTAACCTCAATATTGTTCACCCTATTATAGCACTTCACACGGGAGATAGAACGCAGACACCTATGATCAAAGACAGCTAATCTTTTCATGTCTTCCACTCTCAATGGCCAGGTCTCACAGCCATAAAGGAGGACGACTCGGACTGATGAACAGTACACACGTCTTTTGGTCGATGGCCAGCCGGATATCACGTCTACGCCAGTGACGGCGTAAACTGGCATATGCGAAACTAGCCCTCTGTATTCGTGCTGAGATTTCGGAGATCATTGAATGGTATCTCAAGATAAGCGCCCTTGGAATGTAACCCGAATGGGAAACGACGAGTCGGGCGTTCGTCTGCAGGTGACACTTACAGGAAACCGTGTGACCAAGGGATAACAGCTTGTGGACAAATGTGCAGTCAGTTAAGAAAGACTGCAAAGAACTGAGTGAAACGGGGATGAGTTGTTGAAGCCCTAAGTTTCATTGGGGACCCAAGGGAATGATAATAATAATAATAAATTGCATGAGTACTTAAAACTGTTCTCAAAGGTGCAGATATACCAGCTCTTTGTGATTCCACAAAAACCATTAAATTTTCATCATTCTACATAAAATTGTTCCCTGAACTACTTTCTCTTGCACGCAAAAGTCTACGTCGAAAATCCGCTTCAATCAGTCACATGGGGAAAAAATGAAATTACAACAAAATATAAAGTAATATGACTGACTCACTTTGTAAGTCATCGCCTTCCATGGTAAATGTGCTACAGACTTTAAACGATAGTTTAGAAAGAGTTGTGGTGTCATCAACAATAAACCGAAGGCGTAGACACCTATAAATATAACAATATAATGAATAATGATGAATAGTAAGTAAGAGCAGGAAAAATTAAGGTATATTTCAATGGACGGATAAACAGCATTTAAAACAAATCTCAGAGTTCAGTGTTATCAATATTTACTAAAATGCGTCGTTTTAAACAAACAATGAATGATGATTTTAAACGTGATTTTATTCTCTGAGTTGGATCACTGAATTGTGAAACCTTTATTGTCCTTATTAGATGGTCGGAGGCAATCGGCAGGAAGCAACACCTGACCAGTGCCTCCTGCTAGTTGGCACTCATCAGCAAGGAGTACCTTCAATCTCGAAGGATCTCATGTCCCTCCTTCTGAGATTCAAACCCGCATCACCCTGTGAGTGCTGCAGTCAGAGACGTTACCACTGAGCTATTCAGGCTCACGATTGATCTCCTGGAGGACTGTATTAGATATTTCTGATTGCACACTAGTCAGTAACTACTGTAATGTGTCTAGTCCTATCTTTGGTACAGACTGGATTCTATCAGTCAAGCTTGCAATGTGGCCACCATGCTAGGTGGCTCGCCATCACGGTGTATGGGTGAATTGTTGGTAATGGATGGTTGGAGGCAATCGGCAATAATTGTCCTTCTAGGTAACATCGCCTCAGTGCCACCTTCAATATGAAGTGAATTTATGTGAATTCTCCAAGAATGACAACCTTTTGTCGCGATTACTTGTTAATTTGCATCAGTATTGATCGTTTTTATCCACTTGGAATTCGACTCTTTCTATCGTGTGGCTTATTATTCCTTATTAGTTGATAAATTTGATCTACAACAGTGTATGTGTTAATGATTGATTCGTTTGAGTAACAGGCTTCTAGGAATTCCTTGGCATTTCTGGTATCTCGACAATTTCATATTTTCCAAGTTAAATTAGTATTTATAGCTGTCTATATGTATGGATATGAGGCAAATACATGTCATGTCTTTTGACAATTAGTCAATATCCTTGGATTAGGAGTCCAAGGGGACGCCTATTCTGACCAAATACATACTTCTTATCACAGTCCATGAAGTTTATTTTGCAGACGATGTTGACTTTGTCTTCTTTTGCGAGTGGGTCTTTTCGTTTGAATAGCACTGAATAAAGCGGTTATGTTGGTTCGGGTTTTCGATATCTATACCGAATGATTTTGGTTTTCTAGGCACTACTTACTGGTAATTTGATTCGAATATAGACAATCTTCTGATGAAATTGTAGGGACATCCATTTTTCTTGTAGACAGTTAACATATATATATATATATATTTAATTCATGGAAAATTCCCATTGGGAATTATGGAAAATCAAAACAAGTGATTCAGTAACGAGACTCTTTTCAACGAATCTATTGTATGATATACGGCATTTCTTAAGAAATTGGAACAAAAGTGTGAATACATTAAATAATAATAGTAGTATGAAATACAATTAAACTATTTGTGATTATAATCATAGTTAAATGTCAAGTGGCAAAGCAAATTAATGTCATATATAGAATAATTCACAGGATGGATTGAACTTGGAAGGGGTGTGCAATTATAGGACTATCATTGATATAAGAATAAAACTTGGGCACTGTGGTAGAGTGTAATTCCATTATGGGTAAATTTTATTTTGATAGAGTCTCACAGTGTTATACAGTAATATTTACTGATGACGTTTCGAGCACAATTTATTGCTCATAATCATATAGGACTAGTAGGCTGATTTCTTTCTAAGTAAGCTAGAAAATGGATCTCTGAACAACCTTATCAGTAAGCTCTCATTTTATTGCCCATATATGGATGATACCTCTATTCCTTGTAATGATGGTTCTGATAGGAGTACAATAATTACTAAATTCAATGAAGTACATTCGGCTATGAAATTCAAATGTGAAGAGGAATCCCAAGAAAGAATTGCCTTCCTGGATGTCCTACTTACAAGAAAACCAGATGGTAGCATAAAAAGAAATTTGCATAGAAAAAAGTACTTGGACAGGACAATATACACATTTTTACAGCTTCGTTCCTATCAAGTACAAAAGAAATTTAGCGAAGACCCTCAGCCACAGAGTTAGAGCTATATGCTCAGAAGAAGTAATTGAAGATGAATTAAGCATTGTATATGATACTTTGATCGAAAATAGCTATCCCGAAAAATTTATCAAGAAACACATGACAAAGAAAGTGGAAAAGGACTGCTCACTATCTGTAAACAAGAAGCCACTTTATATACGACTACAATTCAAGGGCGATATACCAAGCGAGATAATTACGAGGAAATTAAGAAAATCAGTTCAAAGAACTTTTAATGCTGGCGAACTACACGACACGTATTATTCTCTACACGACCGATGGTGCTACCTCGACTGAAAGATGAAGTACCTAGACTAGCCACTTCAAATTGTATCTATCAATTCAACTGCGCTTGTGGAGCCAGTTATATTGGCTGTTGCTCTAGGAACTTGATTTTTCGTGCTCGAGAACATGTCCCACTATGGTTAAGTAAAGGTGTAGTTAAGACTACAGGGTTCGAACGCAGGACCTTCCGATTACAAGGCAAGCTCGTATACCATTCAGCCACTGTGACCCGATTCAATGACCACCGTATGAATTCTAGACGTACGGCACTAGCCAATGACTACCTAGTTTTCAATCATAGAACAGTAATTCTTTGAAAAAGCTACCGTGTTTATTATCATTTTTTTAAAGAACGCCTTCTACACTCTGGAAACAAATATACACTACTAGAAAAGAAAATATAAAGATATCTGGTAAGCCAAAAAACAACTATTAACATTTCTAAGAATTATGACAACAATTGTACATTAACACATAAAAACCAAAATCTCATTGAGAATATGATTTACTTACCGTTAACCATAGTTTCTAAACACCAAGAGTACCAGCTAAAATGAAAAAAGCAACATATAACGTGAAAAGAAGACCAATAATAAGAGTATATGAAGGACACCACCAGTTTATTGATGAAAATCAACCAGTTAGCAGTAGAAGCGACAAAGACAGGACCTCAAATGAACACGTAGACGACAGAGTTGCTGAAGACACACCCGGCCACCGCCAACAACAAACTCCAATCACTATCAACGAATAAAATTTGAACGAGGTCACTTCTTTGAATTATTTGGGGAGCACCGTTTCAACCACAGGTCTCCCAATGGTTTTCTAACGGATGTCACCTCGTGATTAAAATCCTGTCATCAATCAGACCCAGCAAACCGACACTTGACAATTGCAGCTAAATTTGGAAATCGCTTTGTGCGTAAGTAGTTCAGTGGTCGAATACTCACCAACCAGGAGAACGTGGTCCAGGCTTGATTTCCTTCACTTCCCCTTGCCGGTAGTAAGCTCGGAGGAGACGCAAGGTTGGGTGTGAGAATAACAATGTCATCCCTCGAAAAAAAATCACCACTGCCACTGAAATTCTAAAGCTCAACCTTGAAGCTCTATATGTTCCGCTCGGAACGCAAAAGAATGAATGATGAAATTTAGAAAACATAACAGTTACAAAAATCACAAAGTCAATTAGTGTAAGTCATCTTATCTTCAAGCAACCTAGATACACAAATAAACAAAAAGAAACAACTGTCGAAGTGACCAATTTCCAGATAACCTACCTGCGATGTGGTAAATACACTAAGGAGTAGATTGAGCCACCAATACAAAGCGGTAGCATAATATACATTAGCCAACGCATAAACTCTGCATCCAGTTGATCAGTTGCTTTTTCAGCTTTCGATCGTTCACCCCACTGGATACCTTTACGAAAACTAATCGACAACTTTGTCATACGTCCTAATTTCCACAATTCAATAATTGTAGATATGCCCATTGGAACAGAAACCAACAGACTGCTTTTCTCCTCCCATAAATGTAGAAAAATAATTAGGGAGCTGAAAAACCTCCATACAACTATGCATATGCGGAAACAAATTTTTTTTGAAAAAAAACAGAAACAAAAGAAAATTTAGAAGTGAGGAAAGATCATTGCAGTTAAACAAAATAATACTATAATTAGAATTGTCACTACCAATAACTGGAGTAAAGTATAATTGGTTGGAGGACTCCATCATGAGCTGACATCAGCTAGAGAACCATTGGAAAACCAGCTAGGAGTACTAGACAGCTGTTTCGTCCTAGCATGGGACTTCTTACGGTATGCACCCACCGACAGGGTTCGAACCCAAGACATCCTGATCACCTGGGATTCTAGTGGGAAGCTGTGACCAGTAGGGTACACAGCAGGTTGAAGGTGAGGCAGTAACTCATCGAAGAAGACATTGTGAAGTGGTCGCGCTATGTCATGAATTGGCAGAAGTTAGAATTCATGGGTTGACTATTTGATACGGTACCAGTGGCTTAGTGGTCTACGGGCACGTCTTGCAACCGGGAGGTCCTGGGTTCGAACCCAGGCTGCGGGTGAGTGCTGTGAGGAATCCCAAGCTAGGACGAAACAGCTGTCCAGTACTCCCAGCTGGTTTTCCAATGGTTCTCTAACTGTTGTCAGCTCATGATGAAATCCCCCAAACAATCAAACAAAATCCCTAAAAATCCAATATTTAAAGTATTATTGCTAATGCACTGGAGAATAGAAAGTAGATGAAGGTGGATAATGGTCATCAGTAAAGCTTTGTGTGCTTTTGAAAGCCTATGAGCGATCATTACTTCCTGAGCGCCCACTTCATAGCGACTGACTTCGTGAAATGCTTGAGACAGAAGGACGGCTGGGGACTGCATAACAGCTGAACTCAGAGAACATGTGCTTGAGGCCAGTTACACACGACTCGTTTGAAGCTGTGTTTGTATGAGGACCTTACTGGCAGTTATGAACTGCCACAGGATAAACCGATATTTACAGCTTTGGGATTGACCTTTTCTAATTTTCTACTCGAGAGCAAAGAGATGGCATAGCTGACCCCCCCCCCCACTGCGCTAGTTTGCTAGCAGTACAACTTTGTCCTCAGACCCCCATCATCGAGTTAACGATTTACACTTTAACGGCAACTGATTTTAGTCTAGCCGATATCCAAACGAACTTCCTGGTACGGTAGGACCTGCAAAAACATTCGTTCCAACCAGCATAACTTGTTGGGTCATTGAGATATGCAAGCCGGGCCAAGTCTCTTGTCTTCTCCTGTTACATTTGGTGTCGCTACCTCCAGACAATGAAGACCCTATGGTCTGCTTATTTCGAAGAAGGAGACATAAGGAGCTTCTTGCGGGATTTCGACGATGTCGCCGATTTGATGGGCTTTAAGGATACAAGGGCGAAGGTGGTTTTACTGGGGACGCTGCTGAGAGGTCGGGCAAAGGCAGTGTATGATAGTGTGAAGCGTTCATGTGATAAAGAAACCTGGAAGGTATTGGTTGAACGGCTGGTGGCGGAGTTCGACAGTCCGACTGACAGACAGCAGGCAGTGCAGGAGTTCCATGTCATGAAGCTGGGACCTAACGGAGACCCACTGGTATTAGCGGTGAAGCTGACAAGCTTACTTCACCACGCGCTTCCCCCACTTCATGAAGAGTCTGAGACGCAGTCTACCAGTTTACCGAAAGTGTGTGAGAACACAATGTTCAGCAATTACAACTCGCCAGCGCTGTACAATCTAAGGATATCGGTGAGCTAACGAAAGTGAAAAGACAGATACTACTGAGCACAACGGTAGCTGCAGTAGAGCCACAGAAATCGAACCAGTGGGAACAGGAAATTGAAGAAATCCTCCCATTCACTTGCGCTTTCCATCTATTCGGCTGTAAATCATATAATGAATAATGCATTGTGATAGTTCCGACTTTCCAAACCGAATTACATAAAATGGTATGTGAACGCATGGATCAGATGGTTAGGCTGATGAATGACACCTATACTACACACGCAGCGCAACAGAAAATACACTGAAGCACCAAGTGAATTACAATTAAAATATTCCCAAGAAATCCCGTTTTACAGAAGCCAGGGGAAATAATCACTGCAGACGAAGGATTTAAATACACCAATATGCAATAGTGTAGGCGGTCATACCACGTTGAAAACACCAGTTCTCATACAATCATCGAAGTTAGTGCGTCAGTGGTTCATTGATAGAATTCCTCGGCAGCCATGAATGTGGGGCCCGGGTTCGACTCCCAGCCAACGCACCGATCATCTGCGGGAAACACCTTTCTGCTGGTAAGTACCAAAGCGGTAATCTTGTAAGACATTAGTATTTGTTTCCAAATTATTTATTATGTTATCATACCGAAAGAGTTTAAAAAAGTAAAGGTGACTATAATACTTAGACGAACCGATCCTAGTTAAAAGGATCACTGAGCCCACTGTATCAAGATTACAAGATGAGCACATTACTATAAGAATAAAACTTGGGCACTGTGGTAGAGTATAACTCCATTATGGATAAGATTTTATTTTGATAAAATCACACAGTGGTGTTATACAGTAATATTAACTGATGACCACGTTTCGAGCACAAACAATTGCTCATAATCATATCGAGGCACTACTCACACAATTTTTTACTTCATTTATATACATGAGTGGAATTGATGATTAGACATTTGAATAAAAATCAATATAAGACCACTGTACATACAGAAATAATAACATTAGTGTTATTAATCAAGTACAATCAGATGGGAAATAAGACGAGTGTTTTTATAGACATAATAAGTAACTTGTTAGAATGTGGTGATGTACGTGAATTGAAACAGAATTTTAAGATTATTTATTATCCTCCTCTGATTTGACTGACTAGTGGTAATATTATCTTCCATATCTCACGTAGTTGCATTGAGTCATTTCTGTTGCTTGTGCTGGGTGTAGACTCAATGAATCAGGATTCAGTAATCAATCTCTCGCTCCACCTACCTATATTACTTTTTAGAACTTTAACCCTCTTCCACATTATTGTGCCATTGTGTGTGTTAATGCATGCAGTGTGATTGCCGAGCTTTTTTCTAAATTACTTATCTTCTCAGGGTCAACCATTCTTACCTTAGCTAAATTCTTATATTACAACAATCTGACTACCCCCGACCTACTAGTTTGACCTATGTAGTTGACTTAAATCACAGTCATTGCAAGGTATTTTGTAGATTATATTATTTTGTTTAATTGGGTATACCGGGTCTTTTAGCCTACAGAGCTTGTCCTGTCTGAGTGAGTTTGTAGGTTTGAATGCCACCCTCATTCCTGCTTTATTGAGAATCCTACATAGAGAGGGTCTCAGATGTCCCCTCCTTATATGGTATAACAGTAGATGCCTTATATTCTCTCTTATTTATGTTATCATTATTAGTTTCGCCACTCAATGCAAATACCAGAGATATGGAAGATAATATTACCACTAGTCAGTCAAATCAGAGGAGGATAATAAATAATCTTAAAATTCTATTTCAATTCACGTACATCATAACATTCTAACAAGTTACTTATTTTCACTATAAAAACATCTTATGTCGCATCTGATGGTATTTGATCAATAACACGCATATTATTTTTGAATGTACTTTATCTTATACTGATTTTATTGAAATGTCTAATCATCAATTCCACACATGTATATAAATGAAGTAAGAAGTTGTGTTGAATGATTTGATATGATTATGAGTGGCAATAGCTTGTGGTCGAAACGTGCTCATCAGTTAATATTACTTCCTATATAACACTGTGTGACTTTATCAGAATAAAATCTTATCTATAATGGAGCACATCACCACCACTCATCATCTCCAGCAAGTTAAAATTCCATAGGCACCTGCAGATTTAGATATGTGAAATCAATGAAATCCCTACACAAACACAATGTATGAGTACGTCTGATAAACCAAGTAACCTGGACAAAATGATCCAATTTAATATGAATTTATTGTAGGAGGGTGACTTACACTGCTAATGTCAATGACTATTTTTACTTGTTATACGTAAATATCATAAAACCCAGAAGACAGAGCATGAATGTCTACGGTGAAGAATAGGCATGACATGATCAATTTACTGCGGCACTCTAACAAATAGTTCCCATTAGCTTTTGTTCTCCTTTCTTTGTTACTATTATATTGTTGCTCATATATTCTATTACAGACTAATTTTATATATCGTATCCTGTGGTGCACTGTTTAAATATGTGAATGCAATGCTGTTCTTTTTTTATTTTTTTATTTCTTCTATTTCTCTTTTTCTTTTTGTTGTTGTTGCTTTATATTTCTAAATCCTTATAAAATTTATGAGGTAATTAGATGCAATATTGTAATGAACGCTGAAAATTCCATACCTGTACCACAAATACTGTTTGGAATAAAGCCATTATTATTATTATTATTAATATTTATTCATTACAAAGCATAAAATGATAGAATATTTACAACTTACCTGTTCGTATAGACAAACCAACTGTGTTATCTGCATGTCGCCAAAATGAAATATCATTCTTGAAAGCCAAGAAGTTGAATAACAGCTAAATAAATTTGAATAGCAGAAATTTAACAACGTCTTTATTGAAATTGCATATATATATATATATATATATATCATATTCTAGAAAAATTCACTGATTGGACACAAACTGTATAGGCATCGAGTGCTAGGTAACGAGGGGAAATCAACTGACAAGGTTGTGAAGTTACACCGACTGAGGTGGATAGGACATGTATTAGGCATGCCTGCCTAGCCATCGATCGTCTTCCTCGACAACATGCAATGTTAGCTGACGTAGGATTGATCAAATTGGAAAAGAGCTAGTGGTGGTCAGGCCGAAACATGGCTTCATCAGTCAATGAAATTCACAATAGTTAGTTTAAGCCAGCCGCCACGTAGGGAAGTGTAGACTGCTCGACTGAGTGGTTGAAGTCGTCGGCATGGTAAGAACCAATGATGGCAGCTGGAGATAATTGATGATATGGCTCAAAATCGTTCTCAATGGCTGGTGCAGATGCATTCACTCTTTGTGATTTGTCATATCCTCTCTGTTTACTATCTCTCTTTACTCTCTTATGTTACTTTGTATGCTACATGGAGGGAGAGTGGCAACTCAAACTACTGCACATCTGTGCAAAGTTCTACGCTGAAACCAGTCAGTCAGTTACAAAAACTGTAGCTTAGCGCACACATGCGATAGGAGTATTCACTAAGAAAGTGAAGGTAGAATCATATCACGGATTGATATAGTTAGAATTTATGGGTTATTCAATTCCAGCCCAAATAGCTGAATGGCCAACTAGCTTGGTCTCATAACTTGAGCGGAAAAAAATTTACACTATGTCGCTATTCTAAAAGTCTTTCTGGAATAGTAGGACCCGCAGGAACATTAGTTCCAGCTAATGTGGATTGTTGGGTCATTGCAATATGCAAGCCCGATCACCACATCAAGGTAGCAGCTATCGGTCGGGTATATATATATATATATATATATATATATATATATACGGGTAGCTGACGTATAGTGCTATTGGTGTAGTCAAACGGTATTCGTGATCAACGCGCCTGCCGCCAGCTCAGTGTCCCTATTTCAAAAACATAAAAGTGGCGATATCATGATTGTTTTTCAATTGTATTTAAATTCTCACATGACCGATATTCACCATAAATTCGATAACAAACATCAACCTCAAAGGTTGGCCATTTATTATACAATAAGCAAAAAACAACTAATCTTCATCATCATCATAAAGAGTTCAGTTGTCGTAAAAAAAATATTCCCATTTCAAAACTCACATGAAAAACTGAAACAAATATTGTGGTTATTAGAAGATAGAAATTCGTGTCCAGAAATATGCCACGTACGTCATTGATATCCTTTTCGTTTAGTCCTGTGGAAATAGACAAATTCGATAGAGTTAAGGTGGCAAGAGAGGTATCAAACAAAATGTGTTTACGGTGAGATGACAAAATTTAAGAACGGTTCGAACTGCTCTATTTTACATTTAAACACCAAGATATAAATAAACTAAATAATGCATGAGGACTATCACTTATTTCTTTCAGAAAACGATGAGAACTAATAGAAAAATAACTTATGCATCAGTGGCACAGCGGTAGAATGCTCGCCAATCATGCAGGTGGTTCAGGGTTCGATCCCCGGCAGACGCACTCACTTACCTCGCTAAGCCAGTAATAAGACTGGTAAAGAGGGAAGGCTGAGAGCATGAGGATAGCAACCCCATCTCGTAAAAACAAATACCACTGCTACTGAAACTTCACAGCTCTAGTTTCAAGTTCAATGTTCCATTGGTAACGTTCAGGAACAAAATTTCAAAAAAATAAAATAAACATAGTCTAAGTTGGCTAAAAGACCCGATTCCGCTACAACTACAGATCAGTGTAGTTGTGTAAGATCATAAAGATCAACTGTGTACACGCAATTACCTAGACTACATTCATGAATTGTACTGAAAAGCTGTAAATTTTGGCAATCTTTTGAGATGTTTTATACATTTTGTAAATGTCACCCGACACCTTATATTCTTGACAGACAGATATATAGACGATTTAAGTTTTTATGACACTAAAAATCAATTTTCGACACTGAGGTAAACTTCTACATAAACCGATCGAACCCTTCTTTGATAAATTTGTTGCTTAAAATATATATATATACGCGTCAATCGAATGTAGCGTTTTACGAGTACAAGGTAGAAATTTCCAGATGTATTTAAGTAGAGTAACTAATTTTAGAGAATACGTGCTCAGATACCGTTAGTTTGTTCCCATTTGTAATCTTTGGTAACACTATCTCAATTAGCTGACAATCTTAGCTGCAAACATTACTGTTACTTATAATTTTCTTCTTTTTGTATACATACATATATGACTTCACTGTCACTACAAATACCAAATAAGAACTGCCACTAACAATCATGTAATATTAAATTTATAATTGTTTCTTATGTTATTCGATGAAATCAGATGCAACATTGTACCAAATGCCGAAAATTCCACACTGTATCACTAGTACTGTTTTAGAATAAAGCAAGTTATTATTGCGATAAAATAGTTATCACGCTTCATCATAAAATAAATAGAAACTCCACAAAGTTAATAGCCTCTTTATTCAGACAGTTATCCAGTATATAGGGATGTGCCTTGGACCCAGTTCCCAATCCTTTAAGTTTGCACACTACAGCAGTACAACCTTCCTTCGCACACACGACGGTTAATGAAAAGCAAGATGTTCTGTACTTAGTTAGTGGGTTACATCATTATGCAAATACTACCGGAGTGAAAGTGATCTCTTGAAAAGCTTCAGCTTGTGCATTAAACAATGAGACCCAATGAGATATTTGCAGACTATTCCAAATAATTTCTACACAAACAGACTGGACTCCCGACTATTTGTGATCTATATGAAACGGAACTTTTACCCTGTGGTTGTTAAACAATTAGTAAGACGCTAGGGACATTACTTAAGTGTACATTTAACAAACACAAAAAGACCAATCAGTGCTTTAATGACAAGCACAATAACTGGAGAGTAATGAACTAAATTAGTTAAGTCCTTTTGATACGGCAGAATGTGATACAGTATTACTAACTGGATGATGTGTACGATCCTACCAAACTATCTAAGTGTTACTTATAGAGAAGGTAAAGTGAACTAAAATTTAGGAGCGACTAACCGATTAAAATAAGCAAAAAGTTGCTGTATAAAGAAAAATATTGTAATGGTGTTACTTTTGCTTGAACTTTAAATAAGAATTCTTCAAATACACTTCAGGTGTACTTGGATTTTTTGTACGAAATTATTTCAATCTACTTTATGATATTATAAATTGGTGCAAATTCCATCAGTTGCTGAGATTATTAACTAGTATTAAACTTGACGCTAAAAATAATACGGAACAGAAAGGTGACAATACGGATATAACACGAAAATGTTTACCGTAGGAGCGCAACTGGTCAGCTACATTTTCTAACATACACCGCAAACGGATACTGCCGAATGAAGTTGGCTCAGCAGACAAGACCATTTCCAACTGATGATTCTCAGGCGACTGCTTCAATTCTATCCAATCGCTTGAAGTTTGAAAATTTGGATTAACATATATCACTGGCAAATATCCTTTTGAACTTAAATGGATTCGCCGGGCAATTTCTACAGGTATATTATACCGGCTGAAGTTCACAGCACTATTGAGTATATAAACGCGTAACGTTGATAACCAAAACGGTACAAGCTGGTTTTGATCATTACTTGAATTGCCGTGTGATCCCTATACGAAAAATATTTACAAAGTGATTCATAATTTTTAAGGGATTATTTTGGCAAACTAATTTGTGGAAAATATTTGTTTTTAAAAACACTGTAATGTTAAGTGAGTATCACCGGAAAATAAAGAAACAACACGAGCTAAAACTTGCACTAGGTGACGCGTAGACCAATGGATATATAGACCTAAGCAAAAAATTAAATCAAGTAATTGCTGGATCACAAACGCAAACTGAATCATGTTTCCCAGGATGAAGACGACACACTTTTTCAAGACGCAATTTCGCTAACAATTTTCCTTTAACTTAAACTGCACACATGCTTTAAATTAGTGCCTACTCGTGAGTTAACAATTGGCACCGCATTTGGCACCTTGTGCTACCTGTATATACAGGTTAACAACTTACATGTGGGCACAAAAAATGGGAGGATCAAAAAGCTTACATCAATTGAGGGATTGAATAATATATGTGTGTACAGTGACGCAATTCCTTTAGTAAGCACACACAGCCGAAATGAATACAAGTACTTCTGAAATGCTTAGTTTACATTCTTAATTAAGGACGTACTCATAAGTGCTTCACAAAAGAGATAATTTGACTTACATTATTTGTCAGCAGGTTCAAAGCAGTACGAGTAGGTTCCTTGTAAGTCACTAAGTTTACTTTTTCACTCCGAACAACCACACCGTCACTTGTTACGAACTGTACACGGACGAGCGAGGATGCCTTGTCGCCCAGACTCCTTGAAAATGTGTAATTGAATTTTCTTTCAAAAGGTAATAAGTTTTTGAATGATGAATTACGTCACAACTCCATCTCCGATTTGAAAGACATCGGTTTTTACTATGTTTTCGATGTGATTGTCTTTTACAGAATCTAAATGTATCTGAACAACGCATACATTGGATTTCAGAATAGTGAAATTCACCTTAAATAAGTCGTCTGAATTCCATGCTGGTTGCAGGCATCCTACAGATCCTTTACAATTTTTGGGGTAAAATATCTCATACATTGACCAGGAAGTGAAAAGAAAATACCCTAGACATACAGAGAACAAAATATAGCTGAGCTTAAACATATTAGAAAATAGCCGCCGTTGAATGACCTTGTGCGTCTTCCAATTTCTAATGTTCTGTTTTCGAGCTATTTTTCCTCTGCTTCCTGATAGTGAAATAATCGTTAGACGTCTTCAGTGCACTTTCACTTCGTCACTTTCACCATTCTCCTGCTGCTGAAATAGTGGAAGCTATTGGGCGAACTATGAAAAAGGAGTGAATTCTACACGTTCTTGTTTAATTTCGGCTTTTGTTGTGTTATTAGCTCCAAAAGTATATAGATTAACTTTAAATAAGCTTATTCTGATCGAAGTTAGTTCACTTTTCAGTTCTGAGCTCATTTACTCATAGAGAGTGTGTTCTTATAATTTTATGGTTATCATATATCTATTTTTGCACATATTGGTTTTTTTATTACTGATTTATTTAAAGGTCATCTGCATAAGGTCAAATTTGAATCTTCTATTCCCAATTCACTCTATTAAAAGGAACCGCTGCGGAAGGGTTATGTGTCCATTCCCAGTTGAAGAAGGAATGCGGTGTGATAGCTACATGCGATGGTTCCACGGCATGTTCATAAACTTAACCCGTGCAGCATACAAGCGCTACCGCAAACCTCTGGCGAACTGGCTATGCAACGACTGTTGCTGTGAGACGAAGTTTCGCATAACGGAAGTGAGTTCCACTTTCAATAGGGCTCTAAATCTCCTAGACTGCAATGGTCCTCCACTATAGGAGAAGAGAAACTACTGCTCAGACACCGATGACGTGACTAGCGTCATCGACAAAACAATAAACGTTCCTGATGCTTCTCTTTCAGGGAGAGGGTGCCCTCCAGCCCAGAAGAACACCCACCATATTCCGTATACCCATACCGCCCCTACGATACTGGATAAACCCTCCAGTGACAGTAATGGAGAGACTGCCACAAAGAAGATGAATACAAGGGGTCGATGACCCGCAGCTCAAGTTGCTCGGGGACTTGTAGATAAAGCCCTATCCACACAGGCAGAAATAATCGACCGCAGGTAGCGAGGAGGGCGCTAATGAATGGCGTAATGTAGTCTCCCTCAAAAAGCGAGATGAGAACAACGTAATGGCCACACTGTCAACGAAGGACGGAAAGACACTTATTTATTATTTTTTATTTTTGGTTACAGCTTGATTCCACACCGTATTTTCAGTACAAGTATGGAATTTTCAGCATGGATGTCGGTAGCCCAAATTTTGCAGGCCGACCATAGATATCGGGCGTGCGTCGGCAGGGGATCGAACCCCGGACCATGTGCATGATCGACGAGAGTCCTAACCACTGTGCCGCAGAGCAAGGGAGCCATGACAACCAAAGCTGATCTCTCTGACAGGTCGCTCATTCTCCACAAAGTGGAAGAGCCACCGGCCTCCGATCCCAAGGCCAGATTCGAGCATGACCTTAGCTTGGTCAAGCCTCTTTTAGACAAGCTACTGCCAAAAACAGTATCAGGCACAACAATACACAGCTTACATAGAATCGGCCAAAGGCCTGACTCTGCAGTAAATCGGACTGTACGCCCCCTCAAAGTCGTACTAAACGCCAAAGAATAGAGGGATGCCATTCTGAGCAACTCCCAGAGTCTTAAAGGATCCAGCATATACTTCCGTGCCGACTTACTTCTAGCAAACCGCGTCAAGAGATAGTCTGCGGCTCTCAAATTAAGCGAACGGCGCCGAAATGGCAAGAAAAACACTAAGATTAAGAGTTTCCGGGTTGTCAAAGTTTGAAGTTTGATGATCCCGATGTCTCTGTGGGTGGGCCGTGGAATCATCAAACTGAACTGTCAGTTTGCCTCACAAACACCCGCAGCCTACTGAACAAACGCACTGAAATGTATGATATGATGGACTCCAGAAACCTGGACGTAATTCTCATCAGAGATATGGCTAACATCCAATGTCACTGATAACGAAGTTAACCTGCCAAAATTCGTAGTTCATAAGGCGGACGGACTAAGTCGAACAGATGGTGGTGTAGTCACTCACTTCAGGAAATCCTTAATCGTGCGTAGCATCGAGGCACTCGCCCACGAAGGTTAGTCGTGCGAACTTCTACTCTGCAGACTTAAATGCATAAGCAAAGACATTGACCTCATTGCTATATTCCACACTCCTGACTGCAGTAAGATGACTTCCTAATAGAAAAGCTAGGCTCCTGGACTTCCAAATGTTGAGGTATCGTAGTCGGCGACTTCACCTCCCAAACAGTTGACTGGACAAGCCTTACAACGTCATCTTCAGACAACCCCTTTGATTATAAACAGCTGGAATAAGGCATTTCGGTAGCCCTACTCCAACATATGATTAATCCCACGCGCTTTGACTCACAGCACCCCTCTTCTTCTCTGGACCTCGTTTTCTCCCATGGTGAGGATGTGGATCCCATACAACATCTTCCTCCTTTAGGAAGAAGTGATCATGCGGTACTCACTTTCAAGTTCACAGCAGCAGTATCATGAGCCAAAACCTCAGCTCAACCAAACGTTTGGAAAGCTGATATAAATGCGATAGTCTCAGTAGCCGAATCGGTAAAGTGGTATATCAACCCAGAGTCCCAAGCAGAAGTCGCATGGAACTAATTTAAACAACTTCACGCCCAAGTAACTGAACCTTTCATCCCTTGGTCTGTCCGAAAGGGTCGAAAACATTACCCCACTTGAATAAACCAACAGATTTGTAAGCTACTCAGACGCAAACATAAATGATGGAACCTGTTTGCCACACTTGAAACTCTTGAGACCAGGAAATTATACAACACTGCTATGAACAAAGTTATTGCAGAAATCCGCCAATCAAGGATGAAGTTTGAAGCACATGTGACTAAAAATGCAAAGGTGAAACCTGAGAAAATTTTCTCGTAAATGAACTTTAGTAATAAGACATCCAATGGTGTCCCAAACCTGACTCTTGACAATGACACAATCGAGGCAGATGAAGAAAAGGTAGAAGCAATGACAGACTACTTCTACCAAGTCTTTACACAGGAGTCGCCACTCCCCGTAGGATCAGCTCTGGATGCATCAGAGGAATATGGGACAGATTCTGTTGACATAAACCAAGGCATCGTGCTCAACTGCCTAATGAAACTAGATGCAAGGAAATCAATGGGTCCTGATGATCTTCATCTAAGGCTTCTCAAGGAGCTACCATCTCACACTGCTGGTCAACTGACCATGATCCTCAAGCTACCTCTTGTAAATGGAGTGTTCCACGTGACTGGAAAGACGCCGTAGTAACCGCCATTCACAAAGGAGGATCAAGACAAAGCCCTCCAAACTACCAGCCTATTAGTCTCACCAGCACTTTAATCAAGACACTGGAAAGAATCATCAAGGAAAGTATCATGGCATACCTGGAAAACAGCAGCTTGTTATCCAGAGCACAGCATGGCTTTCGAGGAAACTTCTCATGTCTGTCAAATCTCCCTACTGCAAGAGAAAGCTAGGTCAAATAAAGAGATAAAGGAGACCTAATGACGTCGTCTTCATAGACTTAAGCAAAGCATTCGATAAAGGGCAAAGTTCTACAATAGAGTCCCAAGGAACGAACGCACAAGTGACCTTGAACCGACCAGTCAGAAAAAAGGATGATTTTTGCATAAAATTTTACGTATTTTCGCATAAATAAGCATGAAAAAATCAAACAGGGTACTTTTCTGTAATATGAGATAAAAAATTGTTCCAATTATTAAGAGGAGTCTCAGTTTTTAAATTAAGCCAATTTCTATGCATACATTCATCCAAATGACTGAAAATAACTTCGTTTTGTGATCCGTTGATAGCTCGGATTCTATTTTTCAGCCTTCCCCAGAAACCTTCGGTGGAATTATCATGAGTACCGGTGACAGGGTCGGCGGAATCATTCGAATGGTTCACTCTATGATGTATATATCCCAGTTGCGATAATTGGCTATATCCCGCTCATTCATCTGTGTGAATGGTGGTGCCTGGTAACACTAGACGCTGAATAATAGGGAGGAGTGTATCAGCACTCCTATCTAGAATCAGCTCCATAAACCCTTTGCGAATCTAGGTGTCATAAATTCCTAAAACCCAAACGTTATTCGCTCTGGCACCCAGTAATTGGACAGTAACAAGATATTCAGGCAAAGTTAAACTTTCGACACCAATAACAACCAATCGTCAAAGACAGTCTCAGCTTTTCAAAGAAAGTTCCTAGAAGACAATTAATTCAGTGTCACTTACCAGTACGCACAATTATTCGCGCTAGAATAATGGTGAGCTTCCTCAACCAATGACTAGCATACGTTCAGGGTCATTGGAACATTCACAAGGTCATTGGAACATTTACAATCCTGGGACTCTATTGTTGTACTTCGCCCGATAAAGTTCCCCACAAGAGACTACTCATGAAGCTGGAAAGTCATGGTATCAAAGGCAGCTCACTAGGCTGGATTAGGTGATCCCTCGTGGATATGAGGCAGAGGGCTAGGATCAGCTCGAAACTCTCCTCCTGCGCAGCAGTGCGTTGTGGGATGCCACAGGACATGGCACTCGGGCCTCTCCTATTTATTTTGTATTTCAATGAGTTATCTCTACTCACCGATTCCCCCATGGTCTTATGCACGGAAGACTTTAAAGTCTGGAGAGGACTGAAGGGTGACAGTGGTACGCTCACGTTGCAAGACCTCAACAAACTGTCAGTGGTCCAGGGAATGGGTGCTCCTGATCAATGCAGCGAAATGCACAACCATGCGTATCGGATACGCAAGCATCAAATCCTACAAACTAGAGGGAATAAACTACCGTCAGTTCAGACTCATTTTTATTTAGGTGTGGTAGTAAGTCACGATTTAAGAACTACAGCACACTGTCGTGTGGTGCGCGTAGTTTCAGATCCTCATCAGCAATTCACAGAGCCTTTACTGGAGTTACTAGAGATATATTCACCTCCTTATGTACATCTCTGGTGAAGCCAATACTGGAAAATTGTGCCCAGGTAGCCAGTCCTTATCTTAAAGAGGACTCACATATTCTGGAACGAGTCCAGAGAAACGCAACACGGATGATTCCCGGCATGATCAATTTATCGTACAAGGAAAGGCTAGAAGAAAACGCGTTCTGGATGAACCTTGAGATTCCCAGAACGTCTTCACACCTAACTCTCTTAACAAGATGATTCATGAGACATCCACTAAAAAATTATATATTTTTTCGATGTTCTATTTTTCGCATTACTTTTGTTTATGGTAGATGTATATCACTAATCAAACGTTATTTCTGGTACATTTCCCTTGACGAGGTTCTCAGAATTCTTATTTCCTTTCCCAGGTGTGACGGGCGCTTGACAAGAAGCTAACGAAGCACCAGATCCAACGGACATACATAAACGAAGCAATGTATTGACACCATATTAGCATAGGTAGACGACCAGTTGTCAATCCATCAAGCCGATCGGAAGAGTTTTCCTGATGGTGAAAACATTAGGCTTTTACTTCCGGCTGCTATCGTCATAGGGTCCCTACAACCCCACTAGGAGGGGAGTGATCTGTAGCGTTAAATAATTCCCCAAAATTATTGACAACAGCAATCATCACTGAACATTGGATGCTGACCCTCACTGTTTAAGTCAACTTGTTTAGCTGAAGGCTTCCGGTCAAGCATCCATGCCATTTTGTACTCCGTCGTGTCACGTTCGTGCAAGATCACTAACCAGTTAAGCAATCAGCACGCAACCCGTTTTGGTCCCGTTATATATCCCGTCATTTGGACAACCAATCATTTGTTTTGCTTTGCCTTTGGTACACGAGAAACGAATACCATAGAAGTTGCTGGTATAAGATCTCGCGTTAGTATGCTCCGTACAATTCGCGAACATCAATACCATCAGCCTTTAAAAGCTGAAGGCTTCCTGTAAAGCATCCACGCCATTCAGCATGAAGTCGTGTTACCTTCGTTCGTTCACGATCCATAGCTATTTAGGCAATAAATTTTGCCCTCCGATTTGGTCCCAAAATGTACTTCGTAATTTGGTCGGTCAATGTGGTGCTTGCTTTGTCTTTGGTCTACGTGGAACGAATACCATAGAAGTTGTGGGTATTAGATCTGTGACGGACCTTAGACTCTGCTAGCTTAATGTCCCAAATTCGAATAGAAATAAAAAATACCAAATCCGTAAAGTTACTGGAAGAATATATTACAATTTGTTACTTGGGGTTATTACAAGGTTAAATCTACAACTAACTTAGTAGACTCCAGAAGTATTGTGCGAGGACTTCTCCAATCTTAATTCTCCAATATCAATATTGCAGGAGGTCGGCCAAGGTAGTGTAGAGAGAAAATACGGTGTTCCTGAGAAATTTTGAAATAGAAGGTAGGTAATTAGAATAGGTCGATGGCAGCTAAGATGGTGGAGAAGACGGAGAGATGTAGGTAGAACTATATTTTCTTTCAAACAACGAGGCTAAGTACAAAGTGCGGAGATTCTGGTTTGAACAAAGTAATGTAAAATATGTTCGTTTCTCACATAATAGTAAAAGTTGGATAAGTTTATTTTTGAGGACTCCACAGATCTTGCATTAGTATAAATCGTACTTTTCCTGAACACCCTCAGCCTCCAAGCTACAACCACCTAACATATATTCACTTCTTTTTCCGCCTCTCTGGTGATGTCAAGGCTAGGAAATTGTGTCCGCGTAGGCGGTCCTTACCTTAAAGGGGACTCATACATTCTAGATGGGGTTTAAAGGAAGGCAACGGGTGTGATTCTTGGCGTGACCAATTTATCATACTTTGGAGGACTAGACAGACGGAGAATGTCTTATCGCAATGTTTAAAACCCAGAATAATGGCCACATGCCTTGTCTGTTCTCCACTGCACGAGGTCGGAGCACGTCAGAGGACGTAGAAGGAGAGTTCAAAGACCAATGAGGATTAGTGGTTCTCATTCCAACTCACAAACTCCAGGAACAGACTCTCGAAAGAAGTGGTGTCGGAGCCCTCGATTGGCTCATTCAAGAAGGGTAAAGGATTGAAGGCTTGAAGCCTATATTTAATCAGCAAATCTAAATGTGAATCTTGCACGACTGTCAGAGTGCTTTGTTAGATGCGGATATTTTAAATAGGCAGATGACCTTGGCGGTTAGGCGTGTAAGTTCCTGGGCCTTTTTTGGGAACTAGGTTAATTTTCACTAAATAAAAGTCTACATTATGAGGTCGCTAGTGCGTTCAAACCTCTTCGTTGCCTAGAGTTTGACTTAGCCGATAATGCAAAAGGGGATTCACACATTCTAGAAAGGGTTCAAAGGAAGGCAACACTTGTGGTTCACGACATGACTAACTTATCATACGACGAAAGACTAGACAGTTTAAATCTCTTCTCCCTGTCATACCGTAGGCAGAGAGGAGATTCAATCACAATGCTTAAAATTTTAAATAATGACTACGGACCTGACCTATTCTCTCTTTTTTCCTTCACACCAGGTCGGAACACCTTAGAGGAGATTGCAGGAGAGTTCAAAAGCCAAGAAGAAACCATATTGCTGTTGAGTACTGGTTCTCACACCGAGTCATAAACTCTTGGAACCGACTCCCAGAAGAAGTGGTATCTGCATCCTCAACTGATTCGTTCTAGAAGGTTTTGGACAAGCACATAAATTTACTAGAAAAGGATTAACATAGTCTCTGAGCCTTCTATCCTCAACCGATAAATGTGAATCTGATCTGTAATGGCATGTGCTCACAAGTCTGCCGGAGCTGATAGAGAATAGCTTGGTTTGTACAATCTATTAGTTTCAAATTAGTGAGACGTAACACTATGGAATTTAGAGACGACTACCGCATGCGTTAGAGGCATAGGGTTAGTTGTTGATATTGGTAGGACTTTTCGTGCCTTCCGATGAATGTATGGCCCCCTACGTTATATCCCATATGACGTTATTTTCCCAAAGATGGTAATTGGCTAACCATTTGCCGTCTCCGGGTCATATTCTCTATCCTGTTAACCACTCTTCCAATCTTGTGAATCCAATCACAGGCACCTACACTAACTGTGTCGAAGGGTTTCATTTTATATGTGGGAGCGAACGGGTTGGCGAGGTTGAAGAAAAGAATATGAATGGATCCAAAAGTTCCATAATTTACAGCCACCTAGATGAATATATGTGTCGTCTATGATACGATTTCTCTGGGGGTTATCCCTGAAGAAATTGGGAGACATTTTTACAACACATGAGACCACTATGCAGCTTAGTATCATGTTTGCAATGTTTTGAATACACTTTATAAGTATTATGCAACTTTTATTGCATCTGAATTCTGTTTGTTCAAAGTCGCTATGATTTTGGCTATGACAGTTCAACCTTGCGTAGAAATTTATTGTAAGAAGTTAACTTTACGGACAAAATTAGATTGTTATGGTTACTCGCCTTAATATGCTTCATAAGACTGAATTTGTAAGAGAAGTTATCAAATAATTAACTGGGAATATCCTACTTTTAGAAAATGTTATACAAATTTATCTATAGAAGTTGATTTACATCATTCCCACTGTATGACTAAAGAAATTCACCAATGAAGTCTTTAAAATAAAACGGGAAGCATTGAATGTTTATTATGTCGTGTGAGATGAATGTTAATTAGTGTTTTTTTCAAACAACAACTCCGAGTCCAAGAACATGGACGTTAATATATATATATAAATATATATAATGAAGAGCCGAAGTGAAAGAATTTACAGGCATTAGTGATTGTCGATGTATACAAGAATTAAATTGGTGACTAAAGTGGCTGGAACATGTGATATGCATGTGCAAAAAGTCACTTGGTTTAACACAATCTTATGGCTGGAGTAGGCATTGTATGGTCGCAGGAAGTTATTGATCGGTACTGGTGTTCTGTAAAATAAGTCAAATAAATATTACTTTTATAGCATTTGGTTAGAATTTTTTCATACGTTTCGATTTGATTTTAGGCTCAGTGGATTACCATGTGCGTTTCTTCGTACCTGTTAGAGTGTGGTGAAATTATAGATTCAAGGTGCTTATTTATGTAGTCCAATTTTGATACACCTTGAAGTGTTTGTCAACACTTGTCTTTCTGTTATTTCGTCTTTCCTAATATTCATATCTAGTCGATACAATTGGTGGACTCGAAGCTACTCTGTCATTATAAATTCTTTACATCCAGTATACTTAGTAAAATCACTGTATCCTAAGTTGAACTAATTAAATTGTTTTTAATCGTTTACGTTGCAGGAATTGGTGATTGTCGATGTATATAAGAATTAAATTGATGACTAAAATGGCTGAGACATATAAGATGCATCCGATATCCAATATCGTTTTTACGAGCTAGTATAAACCAATTTGATTTCTTTGTACTCGCCTTTGATTGTGAGGTAAAGATTCCTGACCTTCGGTAGACTTCTGCATAGCTCGTCCCGCCACTCGACTGTCGTAGCTTAGGTTGACTCAAAAAGGAGTAGTGCTGGGATTAATTATATGTTGTTTTGTAGTATGAGGTGTGTTAAAACTGTAACTACTGTTAATAAAGTTGATCCTTTCACCAGTTAGTCCTCCGGTATCATCGACAAAAGAAAACATATATATCGCTTATAATAATAATAATGTGTAGTTGAAGTTGTCAGGAGAGTAAGACGGGAGAGAATGTAAAGAAGTAAGACGACGAACTTAGTTGTCTACCCCTGAATGGTGTGTGGAATTTTAAGGGGATAGGCCATTTGGACGCAGTCCTTGTGTCGCTGCATGATTGTCCAGCCTTCGTTTAAAGGCGTCCACAGACGGTGCCATAGCTACATCTGCCGGTCAGGAATTCCAGGAACGGAAAACCCGCAGTGAAAAGAAGTGGGAGCGCACCCGGGTACTTGCCCTCTGGTGAGCTATCCTTCTGGGATTTCCACGAGGAAGCCTAAACCTACTCGATAGTAGAACACCTTTGTTTGAGTGATACTGGTCATTCGTTATTTTGTAGGGCGTAATCAAATCCCCCTGAGACGATGGCAGCTAAGTGTGAATAGGCCTAATTTCTTCAGCCTTTCATTATATGGTTTGTTTCGGAGACCAACTTCTCCTTTTGTTGCCCGTCTTTGGACTCTTTCCAAGAGGTTGGCGTCCCTTCAAAGCAGTGGGGGTGCAATAATATTATGCACTTCAAGGTGTGGTCTGACGTATGTTTTGTACAACCTTAGAAAGCGCTCAGGAGTGAGTGCACCTAACTGTCTATGTGTAAAGTGTATGACCGCATATGCCCTCGCTACGTCCCCTGTGTAATTTACGCTTGTGTCCATTTTTTCCGTTAGAACTAAACCTAAGTTGCGCTCCGACGTTGTGCAGGACAAGCTTTCATTGCACAGGGTGTAACTTGCATTCTGCAGTCTACAGGTGCATAATTTCACTACTTTGCACTTTTTCAGGTTGAAAGTCATGCCACTGGCCACCACCCAGTCTTCCAGAGGCTTTAGATCTGCCTGCAGTCTATTGAGTCCTCCGGACACTTTATCGCCCTCCATATCTTTACGTCGTCAGCATATAGAAGAGTCGGACAGCTTAGACGGCATGGTAGATCATTGATAAAAATCAAAAACATCAGTGGTCCTAGGATAGAACGCTGCGACACTCTTGATGGCGAACTGTGCCAAGATGATCGGACTCGATTGACAGTGCAAAATTGCCTTTCAGCTAGGTAGTCCTTTAACCATGCCAGAAGTGGCTTACCTATACCTACCTGACTCATTTGGTTTATGAAAAGGTCATGGTGAACTGTGTCAAATGTCTTCTCAAAGTCTAGGAAGACCACATAGACTGGAACATTCATATCCCAGCATGATGTCCAATCGTCCCAAGCTGATAGCAGGTTTGTTACACAGGATCTGCCTTTCCTGAAGCCATGTTGGGCTTCAGGGAAGGTAATCCCTGATGCAATCGTCAGTAATACTTTCCAGTACTTTTGATACCACTGGGAGGTAGAGCTACTGGTCTATAACTAGTGGCATTTTGCCTATCTCCACCCTTGAAGGTCGGAGAAAGGATGGCTCTTTTTCACTCCCTTGGCAGTTTCCCCGAATCCATTGAGTGTTGAAACAAGTCGCATAAGGGCCTACAGAGAGCTGGTCTGATATCGTCACAACCAGGTTGTCGCTGTAGCTTCCCTAGTACTATTGTCGGGTTTATTTGGGGAGTAGCCACTAGGTCTTCCTCCTGTGAAATAGTAGTGCCACCATTTTGGTCCATACCGAGAATACCGACATTACTGTTTAACTGTTTGGCGAAGGCTAAACTGAATGTTTCAGCCATCTCCAGACTAGTGAGATGGGATGAGCTATCTGTGGATGAACACTGGGAAGTGGTAAAAAAGATTATTCATACAGCAATCTCGGATACCGTCCCTTTAGTCACAACACAGCCCAAAAGAAAGTCATCATGGCTGAAGAGAGGCACGCAACGTATTCTGCAAGCAAAGCGGAAGGCTTGTTTTACGTGGCGCGTATCTAAGAGTCAGACTAACCACGACGCATACCTGGAACTCAGGAACCGGTGCAACGCGAGAGTCAGGAGTGACAGGAGGTCATTCCAGGCTAACCTTGCCAAAAAACTCCTAGCGAACCCCGAAAACTTGTGTCGATTCATATCGGAAAGAAAACCAACCAACCAGGGGGCATGCGCCTTAGCAGGCCCAAACGGTCAATATCTCACTAGTCTGGAGATGGCTGAAACATTCAGTTTAGCCTTCGCCAAACAGTTAAACAGTAATGTCGGTATTCTCGGTATGGACCAAAATGGTGGCACTACTATTTCACAGGAGGAAGACCTAGTGGCTACTCCCCAAATAAACCCGACAATAGTACTAGGGAAGCTACAGCGACAACCTGGTTGTGACGATATCAGACCAGCTCTCTGTAGGCCCTTATGCGACTTGTTTCAACACTCAATGGATTCGGGGAAACTGCCAAGGGAGTGAAAAAGAGCCATCCTTTCTCCGACCTTCAAGGGTGGAGATAGGCAAAATGCCACTAGTTATAGACCAGTAGCTCTACCTCCCAGTGGTATCAAAAGTACTGGAAAGTATTACTGACGATTGCAACTGACGATTGTAACAAACCTGCTATCAGCTTGGGACGATTGGACATCATGCTGGGATATGAATGTTCCAGTCTATGTGGTCTTCCTAGACTTTGAGAAGACATTTGACACAGTTCACCATGACCTTTTCATAAACCAAATGAGTCAGGTAGGTATAGGTAAGCCACTTCTGGCATGGTTAAAGGACTACCTAGCTGAAAGGCAATTTTGCACTGTCAATCGAGTCCGATCATCTTGGCACAGTTCGCCATCAAGAGTGTCGCAGCGTTCTATCCTAGGACCACTGATGTTTTTGATTTTTATCAATGATCTACCATGCCGTCTAAGCTGTCCGACTCTTCTATATGCTGACGACGTAAAGATATGGAGGGCGATAAAGTGTCCGGAGGACTCAATAGACTGCAGGCAGATCTAAAGCCTCTGGAAGACTGGGTGGTGGCCAGTGGCATGACTTTCAACCTGAAAAAGTGCAAAGTAGTGAAATTATGCACCTGTAGACTGCAGAATGCAAGTTACACCCTGTGCAATGAAAGCTTGTCCTGCACAACGTCGGAGCGCAACTTAGGTTTAGTTCTAACGGAAAAAATGGACACAAGCGTAAATTACACAGGGGACGTAGCGAGGGCATATGCGGTCATACACTTTACACATAGACAGTTAGGTGCACTCACTCCTGAGCTCTTTCTAAGGTTGTACAAAACATACGTCAGACCACACCTTGAAGTGCATAATATTATTGCACCCCCACTGCTTAGAAGGGACGCCAACCTCTTGGAAAGAGTCCAAAGACGGGCAACAAAAGGAGAAGTTGGTCTCCGAAACAAACCATATAATGAAAGGCTGAAGAAATTAGGCCTATTCACACTTAGCTGCCACCGTCTTAGGGGGATTTGAGGGTCGAGTCAAATTCAATATCTTTAAATAATTTAAATTAATCCCAGCGTGTAAAGAAAATAAAAACAAGATCTATTTCCTGAATGTTTTGCTGTGTAAGCCACACGTTCTTCAGCATATTTATTCGGATTTATATTAATCATCAAAATATATCGTCAAAATTATTTTACATAAATTGAAGTCAGTTTATTTGAAGGTCATTTGTCCATGGACATTTTTACCAATCGAAACATGTAAGCACTCATCACATTTATTTTTAATGACTAATGTCAAATTGTTGTTGTGTTCACTCTTCTATAGTTGATTCGTAGAGATTAGTTTTGTATGAGTATGTGTATGTATGTTATTTGTCATGTGGAAAATACGTAAATTCATACGTGATAAACAAGATACTACATGTTTTTAAAAGGTCATGGAAGCTCATAGAGTGTTTATTGTTTTTTCATCTGTCTTGCTTCATTAGAGTTTCCCATATAGGTGATAAGTCTATCCCTTCTTTCCTATTCACTGCATTCGATGTGGTTAAAATGTGCAAGGCTTCAGAAGTCAATCTTTCTTTATGTGAATGAAATCCTCTTCTAAGAATTTCGACATTGTCGAAATCAATCTTATGTCCGCTGTCTATCGCATGCATTGCTATAGCCGATCTTTTTTCTACACTTTTTAGTTCTACTTCATTTCTAGGTGGACGTTTCGTGCATAGTCTATGTTCATTCACTCTGACTTTCACCTGCCTACTGCTCTCCCCTATATAGCATGCATCACATTCTGAACACTATCTTGTAGACACAATTACTTTGTGACATTTTGGGAACTGTATCTTTGACATGCACCAGCGCTTTCTCCAGAGAATTAGAAGGTTTGACTTAGACTTTAATATGATATGAGGCAAATGGTCTTTGAAGTTGTTCAGCTGTGTCCTTTCGATATGGGATGGCTATCGTCGATAGCCAGGATTTTTCAATTTTTTGTTTTCCCTTATGCTCCTTTTTGTTGATAATATTATCTAGTAGCTTTTCAGGATAACCATTTCCAATCAAAAGCTGTTTTATGTTGGACATCTCGTTCTCCATATCGTCATTATCTGTTATAATGTTTTTAGCGCTGTTAACGAGATTTAAAGCTACTGAAACTTTCATTCCTGTTGGATGATCTGATTGGAAATTCAAATACTTGTTGGAATGTGTCGGCTTTCTGTATATGGTAAACTTTAGTTTCTCGCCAGTTCGTGTCTTTTTACAAGACAATCAAGAAAGTTTAGAGTTCCGTCAGCCAATTCTATTTCATTAGTAAACTCAATATATTCTGAGATTAAGTTGATTTCTGTTAGAAAGTTTTCTTCTTCAACTTTCTGTATGATGATAAATGTGTCATCTACATATCTGTAGCATATTCTAGGATGACAACTAAAACTTGTCAATGCTTTCTTTTCTAGGGCTTTCATATATAGGTTTGCTACAATTGGAGATGCTGGTGAAACCATTGCAACTCCATTTGTTTGACAGTATAGCTTGTCTTTAAAGGTAAAATATGTAGATTCCAAACAAAGTTTTAAGCATTTTATAACTTCATCTATTAATAAGAAAGATTTAGTTAATACTTCTTGATTGTTTTCAAGTTCATATTTCATAATATCGAGTGAATCACAAATAGGAATACTAGTAAATAAAGAAACCACACCAAAACTTGCCATAATTTCGTCTTTTTCAATAATTACGTCCATTACTTTCCTTTTAAATTCCTCAATAATTTTGATGTTCGAAGGAATATTGTATTGAAGTGGTTGTAGTATTCGTGATATGTATTTTGACAAAGTATATGTTACTGAATTGGTAAAATCAATTATTGGTCTTAAAGAAACATCTATTTTATGTATTTTCGGCCTTCCATAAAATCTCGCGGCCGTGTTTGTCTTGGGAGCTATTGAAAACCAAACTGAGTTCCCTAGTTGTGGTTTCAATTCTCTAAGTATATTGCATACTTGGGCTTTTACTTTGTTCACCGTACTAGACATTTTGTCTACTGGTACTAATGCGTATGGCCCTGCTTCGATATGTTCCAAAGCTTTTTTGTCATAGTCGTCTTTATTAAGAATTACAGTGATATTGCCTTTGTCAGCTTTAGTTATAACAATAGATTTATCCGATCTTAATGTTTGTAATGCATGACGTTCGTTCTTTGACAAATTTGAGATGCCCTGCTTTTCATTCGATAGGATACATCCAACCTTCTGACGTAATTCATTAGCTACATCATCAGGTAAAAGAGTTAATACAGGTTCCATGATGGGAGCTAATTCTATCGCTGTCAGTGGTTTTCGAGTTATGTTAAAGTTTAGTCCTTTTTCAAGCAATGCTGTTTCATGTACATTAAGTTCTCTATCTGATAAGTTGCATACTATTCTTGTGTTTGTCTGTACATTTGACTTATTTGCTCTGGAGTATGGTATGCTGCTTTCGGATTTATAAGTTTTTCAGATTTTCGAATTTGTCTTTGCTTCGTAGCATTGAAATATGCGGACTTTCGATCCTCGAATGATCGGGTAATTGCAGTTAGATGATCTTTGGATATAAGAATATTCAGACAATTATCAATATTATTAATTCGATATTGATAATGTTGCATTACTAATGTACATTTGTGTATCCTTTCTCGAAGGAACACGCGAGATGCTACAACAGATCGATGAGATTTTTCCGGAACTCTTATCATAAGGGATTTCGGAATGATATCGTTTTTTAAACATCGTAAATTGAATATACGGTAATTATTAAAAATCGGATTAAATTATCAAAATTTCATTCAAATTGGTATAATCACCGTATATTTAATTTACGATGCAATTGAACAAAATCCCTACCGAAACAATATTTGAAAACAAATATGTGTGATGAGTGCTTACATATTTCTATTGGTAAACATGTCCATGGACAAATGACCTTCAAATAAACTGGCTTCATTTTATGTAAAAAAATTTTGACGATATTTTTTGATGATCAATAAAAATCCGAATAAATGTGCCGAAGAAGCTGTGGCATCTTACACAGCGAAACGTTCAGAATACAGATCCTGTTTTGATTTTCTTAACACGCTGGGATTAATTTAATTAATTTATAGTCAAGCAATCTGACTCGGCGCCAAATTTATTCCAGGAAGTTTGTAACACCTACCGCCTGGTAACCTATAACCATTAATTTTAATTGATTAATTATAACCATTGTCGGTTTAGTGTAGTGATGTTTCAGTGGTAGGCTGGTGTACTGAGTCTGATATCTGTGAATTTGCACAGCAGATGTGACTTATTGTCTGGCGCATGGATGAATATGCACTTGGTTGCTTAGTGCCAATTGTGAGTATTACGATAAACGAGGCAAATTAATTTCACTTGATAGTTCAATAGGCAAGCCAAGTTTTTATTTCTGCTTGGAAATTAAGAGTGAGACTATTTTTCGAATGCTTAAAGGTTATGTGTTTTACTAACAACAAAACAGGTGCGTCGGTGGCATAGCGGTTAGGCCGCTCACCGACCATGCACATGGTCCGGGGTTCGATTCCCGGCCGACGCACTCCTTTACCTCGCTAAGCCAGAAATAATGCTGGTGAAGAGGAAAGGTTGGGCGTGAGACTAGCAACCCCATCCTGTAAAATAAACACTGCTACAGTAACTTCAAGCCACTAGCTTGAAGCCCTATGTTCCACTGGGAACATGAAGGAAAAAAAACAACAACATAAAAGGGCGATAAGTAAATCAGCTTTAAGTGATGTAACTATTTCATCACTCCTAGGCCACTTTATTTAGCTGTTCCTTTTGTTTGTTTGTTTGTATTTTTTCAGCTCCTCGCTTATGTGATTTTAAAGCAAAAGAAACCTTGGCAAACCAGTATCATCATCTACTAATCTCCACTGCATCGTTCTTTCAATTACTTCCAGTAAAAGATGCGTAGTCGTCGTCGTCAACTCTCCTATGGCAGGAATAAGCTGTATTTTCTGCGACTTCGTAGATTCTGTCAGTTTATTTTAAATTTTGGCAAGTATGGATTTTTTGATGGATGGGTCGGAAAAGAATCCCACTCTGTCTTGAACACAGCGGGTAAGTTTTAAAAAAAAATGTTTTCATCTGGCTGAAGTTGATTAGGGGTTGCAGTTTAAGTAAATGAAGATATCATGAGGAGTTTAGTGAATACAATTCATGGATAAGTCCATGGTAATATTTTTTGGCTAACTGATTGATTGACTTAAGACCACTGAACTTTTTATAGGAATACATCAGTACTGGATTGACTTTCACCTCCAAATGACGTGCTTTTGTGTACTGCAACAAAGACACTGATATATTCCGTAGGCATTTCTCTAAAAATCTTTATTTTTTTCCAACACAGTAAGTTACAGCGGCTTCTAATGTTAAGGAACTTAAAATAAAAATAAGATCAGCGCATCTATTAGCTAAAAAATCTTTCGGAATTCACTTTCCAGTAGGGTAGGATAATTGATATTTTCTTTGACTGACTGACTGACTGACGGGTTTCAACATAGAACTTTGCACATATGTGCAACAGTTCCAGTTGCCACTCTCCCTCCATGTAGCACACAAAGCAAGAGAAGACAGTGAAGGCAGATTCAAAAGACAGATAGCAAACAGAAGTCTGAGTGAGGGAAAAAGAACAGTAATAAGGAAAAGGAAAATAGTTTTATTCTCATTATGATAAGTTACAAGGAGTGAATGCATCCACACTATCATTGAGAACGACTTTGAGGCATACTGTATTTGTGTTGCACTTAACGGGCGTCTTGCTCATATTCCCTTAATCTCTCAAAAATCCTACTATTCTTAAGACAAATGAGAAGAAGAACAAAAACTACAAAAACCGTATTTTGAAGGTGGGTTTTAATATTTTTTTGTTCTTATCTGTCGTAAGAGTAGTAGGATTTTCGAGAGATTAAGGGAGTATGAATAAGATGCCGATTAAGTGCAATACAAATACAGTATACACAACGATGTATTATTATTCCTTTGGATTCCGAGTGGAACATAAGGGCTTCAACAACACATCGTCTTCAGTCAGGTCTACTATTGCCTATAATCTCTCATCTCCTCCTCGCCGCACGACCTCCTCCATGTCACCTTCGCACCGATGACCCACTCGTCGCTTCTCATTGGGGTTCCACTCGAGGACCTGGCACGCGATGTCACTCGACGACCTCCTCAGTGTATTCCCCTTCCACCTCCATTTTCTTCCACATATTTTTTGACCAATTGGCTCTCGCCTGTGGTTTGTTCCCAGCCAGAGTTTCGTGTTGCTAATTCTTTCTGGCTGGCCGGCCATTTGATCTTCAGTACGGAGCTAGCGAGGGCAACTGTTGATAAAAGTCAGCATCAGCCTGTTGAAAGTCGTTTTCGTGATGCACACACCAAGTTTCTGACCAGTATAGAAGAAATGATTGACTTCACATTTGTGTTGAAAATCCGAATCTTGTTCTTTATGCTAGCTGAGTGAGTGCAGCAGATTTCCAAACTGGTTTCAGGTTGATAAAGGTGTCTTGCCTTTCCAATTCTGGCTAGCTTTCATATCTCCATCCGTTCCAACTCCCTGTAGTTGAAACGATACTTCGTAGATAAGTGGAGGAAGTAACGTCTGTCAAATCTCTCCCATTAATGGTGATTATTGTTGGTTGTTGTTGTTGTTGCTAGTGGTGGTTGGTTATCTTCATCACCTCTGTTCCCCTGGAGTCCTGTCTTCGCTGCCTCTACAGCCAGTTTGTTGGTTTTCACCCGCAAGTCTTCGAGTCTGTGTGACGTGAAACATAAATCATCCACACGCGAAATCCAAATCCAGAGTCTTATCGCTTCAACGTATTCCTGTCTTCTCCCTCCCTGTGCACAGTCTGGCGCATAATCCAGTCGACCACATTTAAGAATATCATCGCTGATAAAAGGCAGGCAGCCTTGTCTTACTCCTGTATGCACTTCGAACGCCTCACTGAGTTTTCCATTGTGGAACGTGCCATTGTCCTATAGCCAGCTGTTGATGAAGACTTGAGCACTGCATGCCTTAGTGTTGAAGCAGTCTACAAATTACTTCCCAGTCAGCGCTGTCTGTTGAAGGTCTTTTCGAAGTCGATGAATTTGAGGTGGGAGGGGTTTGACTGCCGGCTTGTTCTTGTCGGTGGGGCAGAGCTGTGCATCCAGCTGTTTGGCCCTGGTGCCCAGTACTCCCAGGTTTTCCAATGCTTCTCTAACTGATGTCAGCTCACGATAAAACCCTCCAACTTATAATGTTTTACTGTGTCGTATTTGTGTTATGTATGCTATTGATAAGGATGTGTGAATAGTATACAATATTACATCTCCAGAAAAAGGCATGAACTAATGACTGATTGCCAAAGTTTCAGACAAAAGGAGTGGAGAAAATTGGTTATCATTACTGGAAGCACAGCCACTTCCGCTCCATATTGAAGATCAAATATCCAGCTGGAAAGAATTCGAAACAAGAAACCAAGAACCTACTACTCAGCAAATATCCCGAAAAATAAGGAGATGGATCGGACCAACGCTTAGGAGACTATCGGATGACATCGTGCGCCAAGCTCCCGCTCGAGTGGAACCCCCATGGGAAACGATGAAGTGGACGTGTCCCCGAGGTTGGCATGAAAGAGATCGTATGATGAGGAGTTGAGAGACCATGGACAATCGCTTGGGACCAGTTAAAGAGGAGAGCAGAGAATAGGAATAAGGTGTAGATGTGCTATTGATGAAGCCGTATGTTCCACTCGGAACCCAAGGGAACAATAATAACTGGAAGTACGTTAAAGGAAAAAAACGGCTAGAGAGAAAGGTAGTCAAAAGTCAGACATGAGTAATCTGTGTAAAGTGGATTTGCAATATAAAGCTGATTAATACAGTTTCCTAACTTATTGAATCCAGTTGTTCAGTAGCTTTATGACTTCGAGTAAACATGAAGGTTATTAAATATTTCACAGATAACTAAAATTATGACATCGATTTTTATTACTACGGTTATTTGTCGTATACTTTCTCATGTACAATAAGTTAATCAACTTTCACACACACCGTCTATTGCTCATCTGATTTCTTAGGATAAGCTGAATTAACAATTATGCCTGTGTATGTTGGGTTATTTTATGTTTGTAGAAGACTTTAGACTGCTTTATTGTGAGAAAGCACGTGTTATGTGTACTATGTGGCGTTTTTTATCAAGGCATAAATTTAAAGAAGCAGCAAGATTGTTAACGCATTCAATTCATGCCTATCCGATGTCCCCTGCCTGGGTTTGGCGTGTAAGTTACAATGTTGTTTAACTTTGATAACTGCTTCTTTGTAGGTTGCATTTCATATATTTCAGTGTCTTAAAGATGATACGGGGTTAAGGTCATTTAACAGGTAAGCTATGAAGGCACATTTTGATTTGAGTGATTTGTACACATCTTTTTTTATTTTTGAAATTCTATTTCTGTCATGCTTATGTCTTCGTGATCTTTATTTATTTATTTATTTTCAAGCTTTGGTTTGTAGGGATTTGGTTGATTGGTTACAGGATTTCATCATGAGCTGACATTGGTTAGAGAACCATTGGAAAACCTGGTAGTACTGGACAGCTGTTTCGTCCTAGTTTGGGACTCTTCATCAGTACATTAAGCTTAATGGTATGCGAGCTCGCCTTGTAACCAGAAGGTCCTGGGTTCGAACCCCGACGGGTGCGTACTGATGAAGAGTCCCAAACTAGGACGAAACAGCTGTCCAGTACTCCCAGGTTTTCCAATGGTTCTCTAGCCGGTGTCAGCTCATGATGAAATCTTGTAACCAATCAACCAAATCCCTACAAACCAATACTCGAATATCAATGAGATGCTCACTGGCGACTTGCCTTATTCAGGTAGGTTCCAGTGGGAAGTCGTGACCAGTAGGGTGCAGCAGATCGGGTGTAAGGATAAATACTCGCCGAAGACATTGGCTAGTGGTTGCGCTATCTCGTGAATTGGCAGGATTTAGAATTTATTTTATTCCTTTAAGTTCCCAGTGGGACATAGAGGACCTCAAGCAAGCTGGAGCTTTAAAGCCTCGGTAGCAGTGGTATTTGTTTTAAGCGGGATGGGGTTTGCTAGCCGCCTCATGCCCCCCTGTCTTCCCTCTTTACTTACTTACTGGCTTAGTGAGCTAAAGGAGTGCGTCTGCCGGCGATCGAACCGCAGACCACGTGAGGTGTGATTGGTGGTGAGCATTCTACCGCTGAACAAAACCGATGCACACTTTTCTTCATGGTGGTATTTTTTTTTCAAAATTTCTGATAGAAAATAATGAATTACTCAGATGAGAATAATAGGATGTGGTTTGGATCATTGAGTTCTTGTTTAGTTTCCAGATATCTTCATGAACTATCGGCTTACTTCTAAAGCTTTTTATTTTTTACTTTATTCGCAGGATTTTGGACATGTTTCTTTTAAGTGATGAAAACAATCGTATGCTAGAGTATACTCTGTATGAGATGAGCAAAGGAAATCTGGGAAATGTTCAATTTTGCCGAGCTAACAAACAGGTATGTTGTATAATATAATTAGGCTGCGCTGGCTGTGATCGAAGTATTGTTGCATATCTCGTGCGCAGGTAGATGGCTTCTTTAACCTTCCCCCATTTCTAGTCGCAGAACTTGCTGTAAGAAGCAGTCGTAGGCCTAAGACTGGGTATCATGAAGTGAAGAGTAGTTATGGGAATTGTTTACGGTTTTGTTTTTTGGGGGTTTTATGCTTAATTATGATAGTTTTGTCACCAAGCTTGTTGTCATCTCTCGGTTTTCGCTTAAGAAATTTAGTGCTAAAGATGTCACTTTGCGTCAATGGCTTAATAGTAGGAATACTTGTCAGCCGTACACTGGAGGTCGATTCTCTGCTAATGCAAACCTTAACCTCACCTAGTTTACTGGCGGATAGAAAGTGTGGAGAAAGGGGGGAGGTTAAGTGTGAGGTTGGTAACCCCCTTTCCCCGCACCATAAGAATAACAATATGACTAGTGATTCTTTTAAAAAAGTTTGAAGCCGCCCCACTTGGAACTTTCAAGAAATGAAAAAAAAACAACCGGATGTTATTAAGCCTGCTGATAAAACATACATGACCTGACACCGGAAGACATCGGATAGTTAATGTGTAACTACAGAAGACAAGCCCCAGGTTACAGATTGTTTATTGAGAAAATCAAGAGTTATTTATAGATTTTTATGTACATTATTGTTAGCGGAGAATCAACCTCTTCTGATTGGTTGTTTTCTTGCTGAAAGCTATTCTGTACTGCTTGTGACCGTTTCTCAGAAAGTTGAGCCCTGTATCTGCGAATCCTATTTGCACACACTAAGTCTGCTGTGATTGGTTGGTGACTTTGTCAAGGTTAAGCTTTGTTATTGTTTTTCTCATGACTCTGATTCGGGATGTGAACACTGACGTAAATTGTTGTCCACGATTTTGGTTAGTTTGCAGCCAGCTCTTACCACAAATGCACTCTATTTCGTTATATTTCAAGAGTCGTTGTAATGGGTTAGTATTTGCCGATACATCACAACTCTGTGTAAGCAGAGCCTGGGAGACCATGAGATTCTCGTTAGAAACGTTATCACTCTTTTGAATGTACACAGTGTTAGATATTATTCTTTTGCCCTCGTTGTTGTACTTTGTATGGTGTATTTCGGTGTGGTTGTGTTCTCTAAGCTGGGTGGTGTATTCACGAAGCTTTCATTGCCCTACCCAGGCAACATCTTTAGTGCATACTTATATTTGAAGTGAGCTTTTAAAATTCGCCACGAGTTTATTAGTTGTCTCTCCTGGTAGCCTTGAACGTGACTGTCTGTCATTGTGTGTTTTCTCACCCTCTAGCCTACTTGTATTGGTAGTGATTGTTTCCTTGACCTGAAGTTTGACCGTTTGTGTATGAGATTTCCTTCTTATGGATTGTAAATCTTGTCTATGTCAGTGTGTCTATCGATTGCCTTCCAAAAATTCCTTGGTGTTCCTGGTATTTCCTCTGTCCGTGATTTGAACACCACACCAGTCGAATTTGTATCCGGAGTATACGACACCATGAAAACTGATGTTAGAAGTCAGATGGATAATTTGGCTTCCAACAATGCATCGAAATTTACTGAAGGCACTGTTCATGTGCAAAGATTTTCACTCCAGTTTCCCCTATCTTATAGGAGGAGGAAGAATTCTGTGCAGTTTCCACTCAACATAACATGTTGCTAAAAATGCTTCTGAAGATATTTTGAACTTAGTCAGTGAAATCTCTTGTCATGTTCTCCTCTTATCAAAGAACTTTGGAGATTTGTGTTATCGTCTTGATTTGGATCTATTCAGCATTGATTCGACTGATCAGCCATCCTACTGGGAAATACTTTTTCCTGACATTGATTTAGGGTGAAACAATGCAAAATCCTGGGTAAAATATTTGCGGTACATGCATCAGTATTCAATATCCGCTACATATGACCAAGGAACAATGTGATCACTTCCTTACTTTTGCTGGTAAAATCAACCATGCACCAAATAAGGATCCCACACTAATTCGGGAGGGGGGGAAGTATCATAGACGATGAGTAGCTAGACCTGCAGATATCTTCGAGTGATCCCCCAATTGAAAATCTGCTATAAAGGGGAAGTGTTAAGATGTATGAACTGTCTTTGTTGGCTATGAATTTATGATTGATGCATGCTGTGACATAACTGGCCTGGGCAAATTTTGACTTATTTATTTTGGAGGACCTTCTCAAGGTCATGCAGTCAATCAGATATTGATTATCTACTTATGGTTTAAATTTAATTTCGGTTGATGTGTAAACGATAGATATACACTGTATTGTGAAGAATAAACATTATTGTTGATGTTGTTGTCGCGATTGTCACAGATAAATCTGACTTCTATGTCTGCCATAATGTGGGGGGGGGGACATTTTCAATTGCTCAGTTGACAGTAGTGTCCTGTTCGGAGACGCACTGTTGTGAAAATAGACAACAGCTACAAATCAGTAACACTCCGTTATAACAGTGATCTCAGTGCCTACCCATATTAGGTGAAGTGTAGGCTTTTGACTTAAAGCATACACGCTGATATTCTCTCATTTTCGATGACAGCTCGAAATTTGATTGCATCTTACTCTGATTATTTGTTAATTGTCTATTGTTGTTGTTAATCTTACGGGCAGTATAATTATATTTCAATAGTTTACACACAATGATAAGTTTTGTTTTTGGTAATATTTCGAGAAAAATTACTGCCCGTGTTCACACCATTGTCGCTATATAGAAAAACCGCACACTCTGGAAGATTCCTTGATTATCACTCGGCTCATCCAATCACGGTGAAACGAGGATTAATACAAGGTCTTGCAGATAGAATACGTAGACTTACAACAACGCCAGAGGACCAGTGCAAAGAAATAAACCTCCTTTTCAAAATGCTACTCGAAAACAACTACCCAAAAGAATTTATAAAAGATAATATAAAAAAGAAAAAAAGAGGGTAAAACCGGAGAATAACAAGATTGAAGAATGCAAAAAGACAGTCACAATACCATATAAAAGTGGTACATCAGAGGCAATTCAAAGAAACCTAAAAAATATCGGCACTCACACAACTTCTAAACCGACAAATCTAATCAAAAATAAAATAAATCAACTGAAAGATCCCATAAAAATGATGGATAAAAACAACTTGATTTACAAAATATCTTGTGCTGACTGTCCGACTAAATATGTGGGGCAAACATCCAGATCACTCAAAATAAGAGTGAATGAACATAAACGCCTAACCAAAAGTCAACTAACAGGAACACAAGCCTACAAGAATCTTGAAAAAAATTCATCGATAGCTGCACATGCATGGGACAAAAACCACAATATCGATTGGGACAAGGTGTGTATTCTAAAAACTAACATGAACAAATGGAAAGAAGGACTTATTTTAGAATCGATATTCACTAAAGTCACACCGGATACATGTAACAAGGGTGACTCAGTACAACTATCAACAACTTGGAATATAATTCTGAATACAAACACATGAATGAACGTGGAATATAACTCAAATACAAAAAAAAATATGAATGAGCAAAAATAATGAACTATATATATGAATACAAATCATAAATGTGTGAATAAAACAATTCCAACAGTGGTGTGAACACAGTCAGTAATTTTGCTCGAAATATTACCAATAACAAAACTTATCATTGTGTGTAAACTATTGAAATATAATTATACTTTATTTGATCTAATCCACAATGCTCAAACTTTTTACTGATATTAATTACGGTCAGTATCTTTATTTAATTTTTTCAAGTTTTAAATTTAGCGAAGAAAATTCTCTTTTCCATGATTTCATTCTCATAGCTGCACAGTCGTATATATATATATATATAATTTCCTTTAATTCCTAGAGGAACATAGGGCTTCAGCCGCGCGTCTCCATTGCGTTCGGTTCTCTCCTAGAGTCTTCACCTGGCTCCAAGTCTGCCCACATGCTTTCATCTCCTCTTCACATGACCTCCTCCAAGTCACCCTTGCACTGACGAACGACTCGCCTCTTCCCCTTCGAGTTCCACTCGAGGGCTTGTCTATTGATGTCACTTGATGGTTTCCTCAGAGTATGGCCAGCCAATCCATCTCCATTTCTTCCTGCTTATTTGTTTCACAATCGGTTCCTGGTTGGTTCGCTCATTGCCAGAGATCCCTGTTGCTGATCTTTTCTGGCTGGCCATATGATCTTGAGTATTGAGCGAAGACAGCTGTTAATGAAGGTCTGTAGTTTGTTTGAGATGCTCTTTATGACGCGCTGGCCAAGTCTCTGGTCCATCCGTGTAGTAGCACTGACTTCACATTGGAGTTGAAAATCCGGATCTTATATATATATATATATATATATATATATATATATATATACATATAAATGAATTACAATAGGCAATAACAATCAGTTTTCTTGTGTGTGTGTGTGTGCGTTGAAGTTTGACACTGGGTGGAAATACTAAAGTGCGATAGTATTGGTGTATAGGATTATAAGTCACATTTATTAAGATATATAAATAAATGAATGAAATGTTGTCAAAATAGTAGACTAAATAAAATGTTAGAATATGACAAAATAAAGTGAAGTGGAATAAAACAAAAATGGATCATGGAATAAAGAAGAATAACAATGTTTCTATGTGGATTATATATATTAAAATCAAGACCATGGTAACTAAAGATGTAGTACAAATTGTTATTTGTACACAAAGTTTTGGCTTTGTGTTATGTATTGCCAAAGCCTCTAACATACATAGAAAATGCAGTTGTGCTCTCCCTTTCAGCAAACTTTGTCGAACTATGTAGACTATATTGGACGATGTGTCAGATGCTCTGTGGTCAGAATCTACAATATGTTACAATATCGATGAATTAATACCTCTGCGTTCGCCTTTGCTCAGCCCAACTCGGAGGTGCTGTCGAACGCGATCGGATATGTTTCTTGATGAATGTCCTATATACCTAGCTCTTCATAAGTAGGTGAACATATGAATATGTCACCCCAAAATCCTAAGTTTAGGTCGAACACTATTTTAGCTACGTTGTCAATCTCGGTATTTCTTCTATGTAGTTTGCTGTTGGCCTTAGCGAAGTGTAGTAGATACCCCGTTCTCTATGAAGGTTTCTTTTAGTTGTTCGAGTTCATCATCAACACCGCCTTCACTACAAATTCTCTGAACCCGTGTTGAGAGAGAACGGAGGATTAGATCCCTTTTTCTGTCTAAGGGGACAAAAAAGTTATCCTGTCCACTTCGATTTTCTGTAAATTGATCTTTTCAAAGACCCATCGGCTCTTCTTGTGACTAGCACATCAAGATATTTTTCCCTCAGTTTCCACCCGCGATTCAGTTCACGCTGGAGAAAGAGTCCAACTCCACAATATCCTTTCTTGACGTCCAACTAACAAGACGAGAACAGAATGGAACACTGAAAAGGTTTATCCACAGAAAATTGACGTGGAACGGACAGCTTACTAACTTTCACAGTTGGGTACCCCTGTGGTGAGAGCTGTCTACTAGCCAAATTGGTAGACAGTAATTTACGTCAATATTTACGTTCCCAAGATTTGTCGTGAGAAAATGTGAACAAAGATTGATTCAAAACCGACCACAGCAGACTTTGCGTAGGCGGATGCAGTGAACATATAGAGGATTTGACATTCAAGAAACAGTCACAAATAGATGAAAGATTAACTTTACGTGAGAAACAACCAATCGGAAGACTGTGTTTGTTTGCTTAAATATCCATAGTAATGTACATGAAAATATATAAATATGCGTTGATTTCCTTAATAAATGATCTGTTGCCTGACCCTTGTCTTCTGTCGTTACACCCCTATACACCAAACGAAACATGATCTGTTCACTCAGCTACAGAGTTCGCAGAATTTGCAGCCCGGACACCATAGAAGATGAACTGGACAATCTCAAGAGAATTCTCGTCGAGAATTGTTATCCAGAAAGATTTATTGCAAAATCTATGAATCCTAGACCACAAAAGCAGCCCATGCTTAGCGTCCCGAAAAAACTACTCTACATGAACCTTCAATTCAATGGAGATATATCGACTGTCTCGCTCACTTAAGAAAACCTTCGTCGCAGCTGAACTACGACTAACCTTTCTCCATAAAACCTATGATTCATGTGAACGTGAAGGATAAGCTACCGCTGCTGGCCTCATCAATGTGTATTTATCAATTCACCTGCTCGTATGGAGCCAGGTATGTCGGCCGTACCCAGCACTCACTTTCCAAACGTATCACCGAACCCTTACCAACATGGTTTTACAAAGGAGAAAATCGATGCCCCCGCAGTTCCATCTTAGAACATCTGATAGAATCCGGACACCAAGCCACACCGCAAACAAACTTCAAAGTCGTCTACAGAGTAAGAAGTAGTCTTCCTAAAGGTGTACGAATCAGACTTCTTCAAACTGCAGAAGCAATTGCGATTCACTTGCTAAGTCCTGAACTCTGCATACAGAAGAAGTTCGTTCAATCACTACACTTGCAATGGACGTAACTTATCTTATTAGCCGACAAGTAAATTCTACCTAATCTTTTTTTCTGTCTTTTCATTAGTATTATTTTGTCTTCTCAATTGTAATATTTTACATTTTCAACTTTCTTGTTGTCTACCCCCACCCGATTTAATTTCTTCACCTCACTACCACTGTTACTTACTGACTTGAACAACGCTCAACTTCTAGTCATTTATGTTGCGTCATCCAACTTACTAAGTCAATCTTACTTTAGTTGCTGTCTGATTAACCTTGTTTCTATATTAGATGATTCTTGTATTACCTGATCAATTATCTAAACTTGACAAACCTCATGTACACACACACACACAAATAATTATATATCAATGCGATTGTACAGCTATGTGAATGAATTCGCCGAAAAGAGAATTTTCTTCGCAGAATTCCTTCTTTTCATGTCTCAAAGGAGATTATTAATTTAATTGACATATTCTTCAATGATCAAATTTTCCCTAACGTTTATTTTATAATGTAAATTTCTGTTGTTTTTTTTCAGTTTGTCCAAAAAAATAAATATGCATCCAGTTACGCAACTATAATAAGAGAGCCAGAGTTAGCTCATATTCAGCGCCTACAACGACTCTATGAAGGTTATAGTTTTTACGGTATGTGGCTGAAACAAGTCCATTCATTGGCTTCGTCTGGTAAGTTTCGTGAAGTGCATTCATTACATGTCCCTTTTTTTGTCGTGAATAAGTGAGTAATGTATTGCATGGCTCACTCAACCTCTCTCTCTTTATATATATATATATATATATATATATATATATATATATATATATATACTTGACCTAATACAGCTGTGTAAGAGCTCATTGAGAGCTGACATTTGAAGTGATGACAACCAGTGGTGTCTGTCACGGATGCCCACCGTCCTCATCTGTCTCTCATTTCATTATAGATATGGTACTAGTGGACTTAACCCTAAATGACTGACTGCATCAACTCAGTGATGGACTTGGTACCATCAGGGAATAATCTCGTTGACTTAGAATATGCGGATGATATAGTCCTCTCTCCTGGTTGAAGACGCTGACTGATAAAAAGCAGAATCTTCTGGACACGTTGACAGGCAGCAGTCTTCAAATGTTTAACATGTGATTCGTTCCTGTGAAATGTAAAATGATGCTAGAGAACTGCAGTGAACTACATCGATTCGCTCTAAGCGTAAAGATAGGGAGTGAATTAGTTGCTCAGCCTGTTGACCACTTCATTTATTTGGGAAGTTGTATCAGTCAACGCCAGTGGGTCGATCGCTGACGAAACCTCAGGATGGATATAGAAGGTTCGTTTGGCATATGCCTGGTATAATAAGGTGAGCAGTATTGAGGTTGGGCGTTTGGTGCTAGATACTCTTTCCTCGTGCTTTGTGTGCTACACGAAGGTAGAGTGGCGACTGGAACTGCTGTACATCTGCAAAGTTCTGCGTTGAAACCAGTTAGTCATGTCCTGTGACGTCCACAGGTGTTGTACACCTTTCCTCTGGCAGAATTCCTGGAACACTTGCGTGGTTAATGGACTGCCGTTGTCAGATATAATGCATTTTGGTATGCCATGGCATGCGCAGATTTTTCCTAGAGGTGCTATTATTCGACTGCTGGAATGTTTGGTAACCGGTACTACGTCAGGCCATTTTGAATAGGTGTCCACCAGAAATAAGTAGTACACACCATCTTTCGGCCCAGAAAAATCCTCATGAAGTTGGAACCATGCTCGCACTGGTTTACATCGCAGATTTTCGGCTGCATCTGTGATAGCGGTTAACGAAATCTTTTGTATCAACATCCATACTTGGCCAGTATGCATAACGTCTTGCAATAGATTTCATCCGTCCATTTTCTGGGTGCCCTCTATGGAACTGTTTCAGCGTAGTGTGTCGCAAAGCGTCAGGTACTACCACTCGTTCCTCAAACACCAAGCAGTTATTAATGCTACTGAGACTATGACGCCGGTGGAATAGTTACTTGAAGGCATAATTTGACACAGATGATGGCCGGGATGAAGTTCAGACGAGCTTCACAGCTTGTTGTAGAGTATCATCTCTTTCTGTGGCCTGCCTTATTCTCCCTGCTGTAATCGACAGCTGCTCAATGACACATGTTAACAAATTCCGAGCGTAACTTTGTATCTTCAAAGGCACACTTAACGTTTCTTCAATTTTACCCTTAAATTTCACTGTATGATGTGTTTTGATTAAATTTGTGGCACATTCATTCTAACTCGTCTTAATTTACAGGATTTCATCGTCAACTGACATCGGTTAGAGAACCACTAGCCAATGTCATCAGGGAGTATTTGTTCTCACATCCGATGCGGCTATTGATCACGCTATATCGTGAATTGTCAAGTGTTGGAATTCATGGGCCATTAGGTCGATTTCCAGTGGCTTGGTGGTCTACGAGCTCGTTGTCACCGGAACCTGGGTTCTCACTGCTGTTAGAGAGCCTCAAACTAGGACAGAACATCTGTCCAGTACTCCCAGGTTTTCCAATGGCTCTCTAACTGATGTCACTTCATGATGAAATCCTCCAACCAATAGAGCATATCCTTCTCAAAGGTTGTAGATATCTCTTGTCAGTAAGGGACAAAAAAAGGAGATTCAACTAAGGCTTTCCTACTGGTCCACACTTCATCACATTATTATATGATCAAGCTTATGACCAACTGTGGTGTATAGATTTTGATCATAATTAAAATGTGACAAGTATGTCGGTTACAATCGTTTAATAATTATATCTTTATTGTAATTGTATCACTGAAAGTATCTTATTGGTTGATATATACGTCATAATTCAAAGTATTATTGGTTTTTACTGTACTTTATTTTGTACATAGATGATCCAGACGAAAGTCGTTCACTAGTTGATGATTTAGCCGAGAAAGCATATCATCGACTTCAGGAAGTTGAAGCACTTGTGTCTGAAGGTCATCTGTGTGACACGTTTGTTCGAGCTCTTGTTGAGGTAAAATGTTTCATTTTGTTTCTCTTCTGATATTCCATTTAATCCGTTTGCAGATAAAGATTGATAGATAAACAAACGTGGCAATGGATTGTTGTTTTAAGATTTTTTTTATTGCTTATTAATTCATGTAGAAAACACTATCTAGTCGTGTATGTTATGTGCGATTGATTGATGTTGCTCCATTAAAAATAGGAGCCTGATGTACAGGATATTTCACAGCTGTGAAGCAGGATGGAGTTAACTGCGGAACACAATATCCTGTAATTATAATACTCGTATCCATTCCTTGCCTTCTGAATGGAATGTTGGACTGCAGCAGCATGTGTCCATTGCATTCGATTCCCTGGCATAACTTTTAACCAACTCCACGACAACCTGGAAGCTTCCATTTCTTCTTCACATGATCGCTTTATGTTACTCTCAGACCTGTAGCCAATCGCTTCCCGTTCGACGGGTTACTTAGCGTGTGTCTAATCCATTTCCTTTTGGATATCTTTTGGGCAATAGTCTCGTGGTTGGTTTACCGCTGGAGTTCCTTGTTACCAGCTTATCCTCTCCGGCCATTTAGTTTTTAGTATCTAGTGGAAGCAGCAGGTCTGCAGTATTAAGATTATACATAGAGAAAGTTAGGTAAAGAGGGTAAGTCAATCTATCATGCTACACCGATTGAGATGGCTAGGGTACATGTTACGTATATCAAGGAACGTTGGTTGACAAACCAAAACCTGGCATCAATCTATGTGGGTTTTGACTGTTGACTTGAAACTCAATCAGAAGGTAGGTGTTGATAAAGGTTTGCAGCGTGTTGGCAATGCTTTTCACGAATCACGTGCCACGTCTCTAAACCGTATGACAGCTCTCATCACCTTAATATTAGTGTTAAAGCTTCAGACCTTATTCCATGGGCTGAGTGTTGTAAATCTCCACACCGACTACAGAGTACGAACACCAAAATTGACTTTCTAATTCTGGCTGGCTCTGAAAACTTCATCGGAGGACCACCTGTAGTTGAAATGTTGCAACCTAGGAAGAAATTGCCTCTTCCAATTCCTCCACTGATGGTAGCTGGTGCTTTTTGTTTTCAGTTGGGTATCTTTATCAGCTCTTTCTATCTTTCTTCACCAACCACGCCTCACATGGTCCGGGGTTCGGTCCTCAGCCGACGCACTCTTAAACCTCTCTAATTCGGTAGTAAGGCGACCCGTAAAGAAGGAAGGTTGGGCTAAATGAGGCTAGCAACCCCATCCGGTAAAAATGAAAGCCACTGCTATCGAAATTTCAAAGCTCTCTTCTACCTTTGAAGTTCAATGTCCCACTTGATGAAACAAAAAGGAGTAAAATAAAGACTAAAATTAATCCATAATAGAGTTATAGTCTACCACCGCAGTGCCCAATTTTTAGCCTTATATCAAGACTAAAATATCTTTTTTATTCTCTTTCTTATAACTAATAGATATTAAAATATTTCAATGAGCATACACGTGCCTACGATTTACTGCTGGATTATGCTGAAAAAGTACCCGAGAATCCAAATACTCTGAGATATTTATGTGAATGGCATCAACTACGCCAGTCGACAACAGATACAATACACTCGTCCATTGTACTGTCACCAACTCATTCGCTTAGTAATCATACACACAACAATGATTCCTCCGCCTACTATACAGATGAATTCAGTGATGGCAATACTGATGTCGACAGAAAAGTTCTCCGACCTGAATCCAGCAGTCAAAAGAAGTCCGCGAAAGGCAGCATGAAAAGTTCTAAAATTTGTTTAAAATATCGTATAGCCTTTTGCAGACGTGTACTGCCTGAACCAGCGCCTTCTCTTCCTGAGAATTATGCAAGTATGACGAAAAAAGAAGTGAAAGGTCTACTAAGAAGAAATCATCCTCACCTACAGACTATAATCACCTGTTTGAAACGAGGTTAGTTGATCAGATCTCTTTCCCCCTCTCTCTCTGTTGTCTTCATACATAAAATATTTATTATTTTATTTAATAAGGAACTGTATAGACAAATTGACGGTGGGGCACTGGGGTCACCACTAGGACCCATTCTAGCCGACATTTTCCTTGCGAAACTAGAAAATGGGCCTTTGAAGGATGTTGTTATTGATGAACTTGAATTCTATTGTCGGTACATTGATGCTACATTTTTGATTATGAAAAATGAGAAGGAAGCAAAGAACATCCTGCAATAAATTTTACTATTGAGAATGAAAAAGACACTAGTATTTCATTTCTAGACGTCCTTATGACCAGAAAAGAGGATGACACAATAAGAAGAAGTGTATATAAAAAAGCCTACATCAACGGGTCAGTATACTTATTTTTTTTCCAGCTTCGTGCTCTTGAAATACAAACGAAATCTGATAAAGTGCTTGGTTCACAGAGCAAGAGCAATCTGCTCGGATGAATATCTTAATTAGGAACTTAATAATATTAAATGGTTGCTGAGTGAAAATGGTTATCCAGAAAAGTTTATTGATAAGAATATGTATCTAAAATCAAAGCAGCCCCAGGTACCAACAGTACCTAAAAAGGCCTTATTCTTAGAAATGCAGTTCGTTGGGGACAACATCAGCGAGATACTAACACAACGCCTTAGAAATGCGGTAAAATGAGCATTCCCTGCTGCTGAATTACGCTGTGTCTTCGAAACCACTCCTCTTTCGCGTTCGGGAGTAAAAGATAGATTGCCTAATTTCGCCTCTTCCATGTGTATCCACCAATTTAACTGCTCCTGTGGAGCCAGTTACATAGACCTTAGAGTTAGGCGTGTCTATCGTCAGATTTCCGAACATCACCCTACGTACTTAAGTAAAGGATAAACAAAATCCATTCATAGAGCAATTCTATCTCATCTTGTGGATACAGAAGACAAGGTTGATGATAAAGAAGCTTTCAAAGTCATCTACTGCATACCAACCCACCTTAGCTCTACTTTAAGAGCTAGTCTAATACATATTGCTGAAGATGTTGGAATCTACATTAAGAAGTCTAACTTATGCTTCCAAAAGCAGTTGGTTCAGACGCTTTCCTTACCCTGGCCGCCAATCACGGTTTTAATGATCCTTAATTTGTTGTAGAAATTTCTTTAATTTTATTTGATATTCTATTTGCCACTACATTTTTATGCTTGTCGTAACTTAGGCATCTCTCTTGGACTGTATTTCCGTTGATCTTAACAAATCGATATTATTTAGGAAGACAATGTCGTTAAGGACAATAATTCTAGATTTATTTATTTAAACGCAGAAAAAAACTTGGTACAATATGGCACCAAGAAAGATGCGCCACACAATAATAATAAAACAACATAGATTAAAAGTAAAAATATAAGTAGAAAAAGTGTAAAGAACTTCATCTGGAAGGAAAACAGTCATGTTTAACAAGTTCAAACAGTATTCGTTAACTATCATCAGGAAAGGAAGAAAGAAGGAAATTGCAACACGTTCGCCATTGATTATGATTCTTGGCCATATCCGATAACGTTCCGAGCTATCTCGCGGACCCCAACCAGGGAGTCGTGACGCACCAACCGATGCTAATCTAGCACAAATATCCTTCATCCCACGACGCCACGTCATGGACTGACCACCCCTCCGCCTTTTCCATCCCGTCCCAGGGCTAGCGAACAGAGACCTGTACGGAAGCCTCTGGGGTGACATTCATAGCACATGTCCAAGCCACCGGAGCCGGTGTTTCCAGATGACGACGCCCAATGAATGGTGATCTCCACTATGTTCAAACACACGCCGCCGGACCTCAGAATTACTCACGCGATGATGCCATCGAACGCAAGCAATTCTGCGGAGACAGCGATGATCGAACACGCCGAGTCGCCTCACATCCTCAGCTTGGAGAGGCCAGGTTATGAATATGAAATGCATATATAATTGCAGTGCAGGAAGAGAGTGCATTGGTGGTTCAGTGGTAGGACACTAGCCGACCACGCAAGTGGTCTGGAGTTCGATTCCTGGTCTTTTGAAAATAAATAGCTTTTGTTGTAATTATATGGTTAGAGGCAGTCAGCAGGAAGTTATGCACCTAGGTTTCGTGCTTGCTTAGGTACCCCCGCCAGTCAGCAAGGCATATCTGCAACCTAGAAGGAACTCATGTCCTCTTTGAGATTCGAACCCATGTCACTCAGGGCTACATTCAGAGATGTCGCCACTGAACTATTCGGGCTCGATATTAACTTCTTGTAGGACTGTATTAGTTACTTTATTTGAATACTAGGTGATATGGGTTCTGATCTCATAGGAGACATGAGTTCCCTTCTGACAAGTGCCAACAAGCACGAAACCTAGGTAAGACTGCACTTCCTGTCGATTGCCTCCAACCATCCAATAACAACAATTCAGAATGCATCGTGATGGCGAGCCCCACTTTAGCAAACTTGACTAATAGAATTTAGTCTGCACCAAACAAAAAAGGACTTGATGCATGGCACCAGTTACTTACCACGTATTGTTCAATCAAAATATAAGTAGCTTTTGAAAATAATCAATGGAAAAGACAATTCTCTTCACTATTACATCTAGTTTTCCGTTCATTGCAGTGGGAATTCATATTAAGAGCTATACATCAAATGCAATAGGAGATATGGTATCGAAAAGTACTATGCCATTATGGTTTTAAAAGATGGTATGCAGCACAAATATAGATTTGTCCCACTGGGATTTGACTTCAGGTTATATATATTTGCAACAGCAGAAGACGAGTGCCAGGCAACAGATTGTTTAATAATAATAATAATGGCTTTATTCCAAACAGTATTTGTGGTACATGTATGGAATTTTCAGCGTTCATTACAATATTGCATCTAATTACCTCATAAATTATATAAGGATTTAAAAATAAAAAGCAACAACAAGAAAAAGAGAAATAAAAGAAATAAAAAAGAACAGCATTGCATTCACATATTTAAACAATGCACCACAGGATATGATATATAAAATTAGTCCGTAATAGAATATATGAGCAACAATATAATAGTAACAAAGAAAGGGGAACAAAAGCTATTGGGAACTATTTGTTAGAGTGCCGCAGTAAGTTGATCGTGTCATGCCTAACAGTTTTCTCATCACATAACAGCTGTGCCAGATAAGGTATTGTGGAGTTTTTATACTTGGTAGTCCTGGCATATAGCTTCCTATAGTTGCTTCTAGTTCTACCAGATGAAATGCAAGGAGAGAGGTGCGTATGGAGAGGGTGTTCGGGGTCTGACAATATAGAATTCGCTAGTTTCTTACATGACATTATATGTCTATCCACAATAGTGTTAACCAGTTGGTTCAACGAAATCCCACTTCCCCTACTAACAGATTTTAGTGCCCTATGCAGCGAAGCAAAGTCTTTCTTAAGTAGTCCAGGAAAGATTAATGGGGAGCAGTAAAGAGGGATGGGTAGAATACAGGAATTGACAAACTGAGAAAGCAAAGACTGCTTTATACCAGACTGTCTAAACTTCCTAACGTAGAACGTTAAGCGAAACATCTTTCTAGTCACTAGCAAGATGTGAGAGGACCAGGAAAGATCGGAGGAAATACTCAGTCCAAGGTACTTGACAGTAGATGTAGTTTCAACCTCTATGCCGTCAATGATAGTGGGACCATGTGAGCTAGTTAGTTGTTGTAGGTCGCTTTTTCGTCTGAAAGTAAAATTTACTACCTGACATTTAGACGGATTCAGCTTAAGAGAAAATCAACAGATATTTACAGATCTTTATGTACTTTCTTATTCGTTATTATTAGCAGAGAAACAGTGTCTTCTGATTGGTTGTTTTCTCGCTGAAAGTTATTCTGTCCTCTCTTTGTGGCCGTTTCTTTGAAGGTCAGACCATATATCTACGAATCGTATCCGCCCACGCTAAATCTGCTGTTATTGGTTGTTGAGTTAGTCTTTGTTCTTGTTTTTTTCTCATGACCGAAATTTGCGACGTAAACATTGACGTAAATTTCTGTCTACCAATTTGGCTGGCAGACAGCTCTCACCACATATTGACTAGCAATTTCAATCATCTGTGTTTGCGTTTTCTCGTTAACCCCTTCAGATACTTTCAAGAATTTGAATTTAGATGAATTTGTTGTCAGTATTTTTCTTTTCAATATTTTTGTTATAGAACTTCAATATTTTTCCCTGGTTACTTTCTGTCTTACCCTTTTCCCTTATGTATATAATTTAGGAAAATATTCAGATGCGTTGGATTTGTCATTTTTATTACTCGATCATCCATCTTGGGCTGTTTACTGTGAACCTTGGCGTCTATTACGCAAGAGTATATTGTGCATTGGCAAAAATAAGTGAGTGTATAATATTATTTCAAGATGAATTGAAGTAAATCACGCAACAAGGACATTTGTTGGTGTTAAATGCACAAATTTCAGCTTCATTTTATGTGTGAGGTCCAACCAATCAAGTGTGAGGATGGATTTTCCACCGATGACATTGGTTGGTGATCGCGTAAATCACGAATTGATAGAAGTTAGAATTCACCGGTTGGCCATTGAGTCGGTTCCCAGTGGCTGAATGGTATACGAGCTTGCCTTGTAACCGGAAGGTCCTGGGCTCGAATGCCAGTGGGTGCGTACTGCCGGTGATTCCCAAAAAACTAGGATAAAACAGCTGTCCAGTACTCCCTGGTTTTCAGTGAATCTCTAACTGATATCAATCCGTGATCATGAATTTGTAATATTATCTTTCCTAATTCTTCTTACATCCAATTTCTTGTTACAATGATGCTATTGAGCTGTAATCTATCAATATTATTGATTCGATGTTATTTAAACAGCATTAATGCTGTTCATAACACTAATTCATTCATTCACTATAATGTGTGTATAACTGAAGAGCCTGATGATGAATTTATCGAAAAGAGTACTCTTTATTCAGTATCCATTCTTTTGAAAATTTTAATGGGCGTTTTGAATCAGTTAGTTTATTTACATACATACATAATGATTGGTTGTTGTTGATTCCTGCTTGTTTTTCAGTCACCAAGTGCTACACGCCTGGTCTATCCGAAAGACTTATTGGAATCAGTTGCATTTTTCCATGTCAAAATTACCAGTTATTGGAAAGTCTATGAAAACTATGCTAAATAAACTTGACAGTGTCAATTTGATGAATGGACAATCGCATTCCGAGGATCCTTTAGGCGTAGAAATGACAATTGTCACAGATTATAGACCAGCTGTTTCCCGAGAGATCTCCAGTCCAAGCTTAACTTCCTAAAATAAATGTATATATCCAGACGAACATTTTTCATTTTAAAAGATTATTACTGCTATATGATATGATATTTGTACGTATGCTCATGAGTTAGTTTATTGTATTTTTTTTCATCAAAATGAAACAGATTACCGGAGATATTCATGATGTTTTTTCTACGAATGTCATACTGATCCATATATGTAACGGGAGACGATTAGGCACTGGGTAACGGACCTTTATTAAGAAATTACACACAACACATGTCTGTCTGCTTTCAACATAGAACTTTGCACTGATGTGCAGCAGTTCAAGCAAGAGAAGAAATGCATAATAGGAACAGTAGACAAGGATATGAGACAAAGGAATAGTAATAACGAAGAACAATATGGTTTCATTGAGTATTATAAGTCACAAGGAATGGATGCATCTGCGCCAGCCATTGAGAACCATTTTGAGCTACATTACCAATTGTCTCCAGTCATTGGTGTTTACCGTCCCGAGAACCCCCACCAGGAAGTCTACATCTTCCTACTTGGCTTAAACTAACTGTTGCGGATTTCATTGACTGATGCCATGTTTTTGTTTGACCACTGCTATCTGTTTTCCAGCCTGACCCTATGTCAGCTATCATTGCATGTTGTCGAGGAAGGCGATGACTAGGCATACGTAACACATGTCCTAACCATCTCAGTCGATGTAATTTCACAGTCTCGTCAACTAATTTCCCCTCCTTACCTAGTACTCGACGCCTAACCTCAGTATTGCTCACCTTATCATACCACTTCACACGGGAGATAGAACGGAGGCACCTATGGTCAAAGACAGCTAATCTTTTCATGTCTTCACTCTCAATGGCCAGGTCTCACAGCCATAAAGGAGGACAGAGCGGACTGCTCAGCAGTACACCCGCCCTTTGGTCGATAACGAGGCAGATATCACGTCTACGCCCGAGACGGCGTAAAGCGGCATATGCGAAACTAGCCCTCTGTATGTGTGCTGAGATTACGTCAGAGATCAACCCGTTTGGGCTGATGGTACTTCCCAAGTAAGTGGAGCAGTCAACGTGCTCTACTACTTCACTTCCTATTTCTAATCTAGGCGTCAATATAGTCCAGGCGTGTACCATCGTCTTACATTTGGCGGGAGAGAATCGTGTGCCAAACATTCGAAAGCTGCTGCTCAAGGTGTTCGGAAGACTCTGCATTTTGTCAGTCAGCGTCTTCACCTAGGAGAGAGGACTATACCATCTGCATATTCTAAGTCAACGAGATTATTCCCTGGTGATAACAAGTCAATCCCTGAGTCGCTGAAGTCAGTCATTCAGAGTTAAGTCCATTAGTACATCTATGATAAAATGAAAGAGAGATAGGGATAGTGGGCATCCCTGATGGACACCACTAGTTGTCACCAGTTCAGATGACAACTCGCCATAAGCTCCTCACCTGGCTGCATGAGTTCGAGTAGAGTGAGTGTCTTGATCAGTGCAATGTATTTTCTCGGCATTCCCTTTACAGCCAAGCATCGCCCGAGTACTTCTGCGTAGACAGAAGCGAATGCCGCCGTAGGTCAAGAAATATAACGATTGTTGGACGCCGGTAAGTATGCCTATGTTCCAGAATCTGTTGAAGGGTGAAGCAACTCAGGAAGGAATAAGAGTGAACAATAAAGAAGAATAGGTAAGATGGAAGAGTTGGCAAACTTTAAAAGGAGGGGTTGAGTTATGCCCGAGTGTCTTAACTTGTTAATGTAAAAAGTCAGACAGAACATATTTTTTAGAAATCGCTAAGATGTAAGAAGACTAGGAATGAAGAATTAGCTCAAGATGCTTAACGTCGGACTTGAATTCTGTATCAGTGTCATCAATTTTACAACGGTCATGGGAATTAACAACTTCATTTTACTTTCGTTTACAACGGAAACTGAAATTAACAGTCTGACATTGGGAAGGATTTAGGTTAAGACCTTTCGCTGACTCCTGATGGAAAGCTGTTCATCTTAGTACAGTCTGACTGGGAGTTAATAGGCACTGAAACAGTAGGATCTTCCGCGTACTTAACAAAGTTTATTTAATCAGAGTGAGGCGTCATGCTAGAAGAAAGAAAACAGAAAAGGAGAAGAAACAGCACCTTGAGGGATGCCAGCCTCAGTGAGCAATGAAGTCGACAACTTCCCCTTACATACAGTGTACTGCTTTCTTCCTGAGAAATAAAAATGTTGCCAGTTAATGGGGGAATTGGTCGATAGCTGGTGGTCGAATTTGCATAATGTTGGCTGGAATCAATACTTTTGCAGGTCTCATCATGCATGAAAAATTGCTTGGATAGCGATAAGACTGAAAGCAGATGCACTTTTCGGTTGCGTGGCTTACACTGTAGAGATAGTTCGAAGGCTAAGTCGTAATGTTGACCGAAAAAGGGTGTACACTGGTGGTGAGGTGCATTCTTCGAACAATGAGCAATGCTGTCTTCCTTCTCTGGAGGAGAGATCGTTGTCAAATTACACTACAGACGAAACTCCAAAAATTCAGTCGCTCCCACACAGCTGGAGTGTGACCAGCAGTAGATAGTCGTTCCTTGGTTTCTTCGATCATGCTTCTTCTCATGTACACCAACTAAATATTAACTTCCATGGAGTGCGTAACTGGGGAGTACTAGCTACCCATATGTTTCTAGCACACAAACGAGCACCACCTTAGCGAGAGGGCATTTTCCTTGATAAACGGAGAATGTGATAATTCTGAAGATTTATTTTTAACCCTAACCCTGGTCTCCAGGCAATGGTTCTTAACATCCCGAGGAATCTAACCAGACAATTTACATCCTCGTACATGGATGAAAACAATTGTCACAGGCTTTATGTATTTATGCCAGGTTAGGCTTCGACCACCTCTAACCCTCATCCAATCTAATCGCATGTCAGTCAACATTGCTCGTTGAGGAAAGTGGAGACTCAGCATTCTCAATACATGTCCTATTCATCTCAATCGATCTAGCTTCACAACCTAAGTGATTGGTTTACCCTCCTTACATAACACTCTACACCCCACCCCAATATCACTCACCATATTATACTAGTAAACAATATCCTTTTTTGAGATGATAGTCCATTAGTTAACATAATCAATCAAATGTGTATAAGATGTATAGTCAGAAAAAAGTGTGAATGAACAATTGGGTGATATAGTCCTGTTTTATAGTCAACAGAATACAAGTGTCATTGGGGTGAGAGAAATGCGATAACCACAAAAAAATACATACAAACACACATTAACAAAGGGGACACTGAATGTGAGGGCTGACCGATAATGCCTAATGATAAAATAAAGAGGCTAAATTGTAATAAGATGTTACAGGGTTGGTAGGCTTAGTGTAAAATCACAAAGGTTGACAAAATTTAGCCTCTTTATAATATCCTTTTTTGTTGGTATTAGATGGTTGGAGGTAATCGACAGGAAGCCTTGGACATAGGTTTCGAGTTAGTTGGCAGTCACCAGTCAGCAAGAGGTGTCTGCAACCTCGAAGGAACTAATGTCACTTCAAGGTGGCCCCACAATACAAAATTGACTGATAGAATTCAGTCTACACCAAAGATAGGACTAGACACCGTAGAAGCTAGTCACTGACTAGTGTCCAATCAAAGGCATCCTTTTTCAACTAACAACATGAGGGTCCTGAATTAGCGCTGGTAAAGAATCCCTAACTGGTAGAACAAAGCGACTGACTCAGGTTCGTGAAGAAAATTAAATGCAGAAAAATTTCATTTTGCAAAGTGAGGTGGTCTATAACTAAAACTAAGTTCAAGAAACATAAATAGAAGCAATGAGACACAACTGTCTAAAGCACTGTACTTTTGAAATTATACATATATTTGCACATGGTAGATATTATTTGATGAAGAAAAAACAGTTTATGTACAAAATTTTCGCGTTCACTGTCATGAAATCTAAGGTAATGCAGTCACAGCATGGGCAAGTAAGCACCTTTGAGAATTAGTGCACAGGTTTCTCACAAACAGCTTGAAGAAAAACTCGTTTTACACAAAGTCCTTTAGCTGCATTTTTAGTTTCTTTATGAACCCATTGAAGTCGAATTATTGATAGACCAGCATTTGTGAACAGGTTAGTTAATTCCTCTTCTGTAAAAAAGTAGGATAGTGTTCCATCCTGTCTAACATAGGATGGTCGATCCGCGTATAATCGAGACTTTCTTCCAAATCTCAACTGAGCATGATCATATTGTCCATAGTCACGAAACAGAAGGCGACCACCAGGTGATAGAACACTAAAATGCAAAAAGACGGGAAACACAATCTTAGAAGAGAAGTGTTCATTCACATAACTATCAGGAGTCTTTGTATGTATCCTTATTATGGACTCTTTCTTTGATCAAGACAAGTCAACCACTATATTCTCTAAATTCAAAGTCAGCGTACACGCATCTTCGGAAAAGACCACCATCCAGGCCCAACGGTTGGTAGTTTGAAAAGTTAGTAGTGATTATGAAGTCTGGGAGTTTTGTATGCAGTGTGCACTAAGCCGCTACCCACCACACACTTGCCAGCAACGAGAATATTTTAGACGAATTGCTAGAATCAGGTAAATGCCCTTCTACTTGTTTGAATTCATTACTGACGTCTTAAATAGGATACACAGTGTATACGATTGTGAAGCAAACGAAACAATTTCATACATTTGTTGCCTACTAAGCCACTGGAACCCGACCTCCAAATCCTGACAATTCACAATATAGAGCAACTACTAGCCACGTTGGATGTGAGAACAAATACTCCCTGATGACATTGGCTAGTGGTTCTCTAACTGACGGCAGCTCACGATGAAATCCTGTGAATTGGGGGGAGTTAGAATGAATGTACCACAAATTTAATCAAAACACATCACACAGTGGAATTTTCGGGCAAAATTGCAGAAACGGTAAGTGTGTCTCTGAAAACACAGAATTCGTCAACGTGTGTCATTGAGCAGCTGTCGATTACAGCAGAGCGAATAAGGTAGACCACAGAAAGAGATGATACTCTACAACAAGCTGTGGGGTTCGTCTGAACCTACTCTTGCTTATCATCTGCGTCAAATTATGCTCTCAAGGAACTATTCTGCCGGTGTCACAGTATCATTAATAACTGCTTAATGTTTGGCGGTA